AATTAGGATAAAAAACACTATTCAAGCATTTATGACCTCATATTTTTAAATTTTTTGCAGTGCATTTGTAAGAAAGAGCTCTCATTATTTGACGCTTTGAGCTGAGCCCTGAGTGAGGGTGGTCCTCTCTGTTCCACTTTACTGAAAAAGCTGAGCTAAAAATGTGACAGAGGCCAAAAAATACATGCATGTGAAAACTAGAACCAAAAGGTGTTGAGAGCAAGGAACTAGCTTGATGTTTTCAGTGACATTGTTCCATTTTTGCGGCGCACCAGCTTTAAGCGATCCAAAACAATGCCTTGCTATATGTGAAAATGAATCTTTTTGTTTTCAGTCCTCTCTCTCCCTGTGCGTTCAACATATGGCAGTCACTGTAGGGGGTGACTGCCATTGCCGGCTCACCTGGGGCAGAACTGCAGACCTCACCAATAACACAGGCCTGGGACTGTCACAATAGTCTGGTCTGGCCAAAAGCAAATCTGGGATGTGGATCTAAACAGCGCTCTTTGATCAGCCAGCAGCCTGACAGCTCTCTGGAGGGGGCGTGCGGTGCCGTCCAGGGGAATATGGTGAAATAACTCTGCAGTATTTACGCTTGGATAAAACATGTTAGCTCCCTTCAAGCGCTAACAGGATGTGTGTTAGTCATGGACAGAGAGAGACGTGGTTGTGGATAGAAGCCCCCCGCTGAGACCACCGCCACCAAAACACAGAGTCTATCTCGTCTTGTGTTGAAGGAAAACATCCAGTGATCACACAGTCCTAGGATCCTGAGTGGTCTGCAGGGAAGCCATAAAGACAGGCATAAATCTTTAGTGCGCTACTTTTCATGAATTATTGGCATATATACATCTCAAAAGTTACGTTTCTATGTATTGTGAATGATAGAATAGACTGAATCACGATGGTAAAGTCATTTTAGGGAGAAACCAATTGGATTTGCTCAGCCAATTACAGATTTATTGGCTGTTATTATATTACCATTTTCACATGTATTATATCTACATACTGCACTTTCTAATCTATAAAGACATTCCAATGGTAGTCTAAATGTAATTTTGAGGCAATGACAATAATTGAATCTTGAATCTCTTGAATTTTGATATTTGGAAAAAAGTATATACTGTACCTGTAAATGGCAAGATAAGATAAGATAAGATATACTTTATTAATCTCACACAGGAGAAATGTACATGTCACATCTGGCATGGATAGAAACACTCAAGAAATAATAAGTAAAGTAAAATAAGTAAATAATGTCCAACTCTTAAGCAGCGTATAACTTGTATGCCTAAATACAATGAAAACGTTCTAGTGTGACTCTCCATGCAGTAAATAAGTAGATGACTGTGAACTTGTGTTTATGATCTCAATTACTGATGTGGAGTTTTTTATATTTAGATTGTGGATTGTGAACTTTAAAATGTGGGTGTTCATTTATTTCTGGAATTCAACTTAAAATGTGAAACCAATATGTGATCCAGACTCACTGCATGAAAAGTGACATAAACTTGTTTGTTACAGTTTTGACAAGTATGGCTTCCAGTCCATTTTCAAAATATTTCATTTTTTAAAACATTTTCTGAGCGTTTTTACAACCAACTCTTTATTATACAAAATAATTGATACATCTCAATCTGCGTGCACTTAGACTGTCATGTATTAGTTTCACATTGTAAGAATCATGATCAGAATTATTTTTATTGTCATTGTAAGTAGCAGGATGTCACAAACGATAAATTTGCTTTGGCTCATGATCCGAACAAGTTATAAAAGTAAAAATCAATATAACAAATCTTCATAAAATGTTTACTAATGTACACGTTTACACTAAGTACACGCAAAACACTTTTAACAGTAAAGATTGAACAATATTCTAGAGTTTCTCCAGTATATGGGTAACTTTTAACATAATTAAATGGGTGGTGAGTGGAGGTTGCAACTTCCAATAATTAAAAACAAAAAATCAAACAAAGTGAAATCTTGGCTTATTCCCCCACTTCAAAATTGGCCCCGATAGTTCCATTGATCTATTCTGATATGATTATTTTCCTCATACCTCATTTGACAAACTCTTTCAGCACATACACATTGCATTTACAGTAGAGCCTTTGCCCAAATTGCAACAACAATTTATAGAAACCCAATTTAAGGTTTGAATTGTAGATCCCCCTCTCTGTCAGTCCCTGTGTGGCTGTTACTCATGCCTAAAATGCACAAGAAATTCGTAAATATTGACCGTTTTGGCACACACACAACTCATTCATGGAGTTTCTGGCACAGCTTAGCATACATTCTACTATTTAGCAAAGTGTTTACCATCATTTTTGATTTATGGAAACTATGAAACGATAATAATTTATGTGATTTTGATATTGGGTGGAACAAAGACATTACTGGGTGTTGGGTTGTGAAATGGCTTGGCGTGCGGTGCTCCATGTGTGGCTGCAGCTCGGATCTTGCTGTAATTCAAAGATGATTATGTGATGTTGTGGAAAGCAGACACTCAGGCCATAATTTCAGACTTAAGCAAACGAGTCGCTATTTACTACGGCTCCATCACCACTGCATAGTTCAAACACGCATCCATCAACCCCCGCTGGTGCATACATTTGTGAGGATTCACCTTGCCGTATAGGATTGTCACAACTAATTTGACTTGTTCTGAGACACAAAAACCATTCATAAGCCCGTTTTTTCTCTTACTTTTTGGCTTGTCCCGAAGGCTGTAGCTTAACTGTGAAACCTCAGGCGCTTCTCTGATCATAAATTTCCACTACGGTGCCACTGCCAGCTTTCTTGTCTTAAGCTTTCTTGTCTTAAGCTGCCAGTGCGTTTGGGGCGACTCTAAAAGACGTAGAGAGGAACGTTTGAAATATTATTGAACAAGTATTCAAGCGTGTTTGTGGGGAAGGTCTATAAATGGACATGTGTAAAGCGTTTGACAAGGCGATAGTGATGGATGATTGTGCTTGGGAGCTGCGGCATCAATATTTCAACTCAAGAATCTATGGTTGTTTAATCACTGATCTTAGTCTCTTTGGTCCAGAACTCACTGGATATTAGCACTGCACAATTAATCACAATACATTTTCATGGTTGCAATTATTTAAGTTCCTTATAAACAAAAAAGAGACTAAGGATACCCAAAAGAATCCCCTAACTTGGTAACATTTTGCTTGATTTGAATATATTACGAAGATTTCTCGATAGATTCAGATTTTTGAACGTTATGAAAAAGTCAAAATTATACGGTATGTTTATGTTGCTGACACTTTGTAGATATACAGGAAAATGCTTGTGTTTTAATAATAATATACATTTTAAAAGTGTGTGTGAATTTTCTGTGAATTTTCTTTTTTTGTTGTTGTACATGGTATGTTATGGTATGGTTTTTATTTTTACAGGGACAGCGTACAATAAACATTAGCCAAAAGGAGAGATGCTTTGTACCAGGTTGTATTGAATAGCAACCAAAGAAACCAAAATAAAAACTACTGAACAAGCAAGTATATATTATATTGTCAGACAGAAACCATTATGTTCTTGTTCTCATTTTCATAATTTATAAAAACTGTCGCAATGTCATGTCTGACTGTAAGAATTCATGAATTTCTTTTGTTTTTCAATTTTACAGTGATTTTTTGTTTCTATTCTTTGAACAAAATGGGACTTTTTAAACATACAGGACATAAAAAAATCACACCACAATTGGAATGTACATCAGACATTTTTAGGTCTAGATATAGGTCATTGTGGTTATACATATATATTTACATCAGTATTTTCATATCTCAGTCTATCTTTGTCTCTGTTTTCTTATCAACAGCACTAACATCTTTGCGACACACCGCTCTAATATTCCCCAGTTATTTTCAATTTGGTCGCGTCTGCTGTCTCATAAAGTTGTCGGGTTAGAGGCGGGAGGCGAGAGAGTCGTTTATCTGATTCTCAGCACTTTGTCGTAATAGAAAAAGGCGACACATGCACCCAGCGACCCGCTTCTGACAAGTGGCCATTTTGGGTAATGAACTGAGAGGTGATGAGAACAGATAGCCCCCTCGCTCACAGGGCCAAAGGTGGACCTCCACAGATCATTTTATAGCAATTATGCTGCAATAAGAATCTAATTTAATAGTTAAAAATAAGTTCTAGCTCTATGTACAGACACAGTTATTACCATGGTATCTTCTGTGATTTTGTATTTTAGAATTTGCTTTTAGAAAATCAGTAAACAATGAAGCATGTCGTCTGTTAAGTTCTGTATACAAAATGTAAATTGGTGAGGTCTTTATCTACATGCAGAGAGTAGTGTGCTATAGCTGCCGACTCATTTGAAATAACTTACTAATTACACACATATATTTGATCTTGATTTTAGCATATTTGACTGGGTTCTGCCAATGGAACAAGATATTTAACAAAAAAAAATATACGTAATGTTTGTCTTCATTTTGAAAATAATCAATGTTATTTTCATTTGATAGATTGTCAAATTGAGTCAGTTCAAATCAAATGTTCATCACACAAGTCATTTCAACTCATTTAGATTCAACTTTTTCGCTGTTTTACTTGAGTAAAACCTCCCTCCCACCCCTCTGCGATTTCAGTCTTGACTTGGATGACATCACTGAAGAATGTCTTGTTTGATTCTGATTCTGTGATAGAAGTAGGTTGATTTTATCTCAAGCAATTTCTTGTTTTTTTTCTCAGACTATCAGGAAATGTCCCACTTTTACCTATCAATCAATCAACATTTATTTGCTCAGCACAATTTGTGTGTTAGACAATTCAAAGTGCTTCACACAGCAATGAGAGAAAAAACTTTAATGTGGACAAAAACAGTACTGTGCTTGAAATAATCCTGAAGTTGCGTGTTCTCTTGTTGTAGGACAGTCACAGTAGACTCAAATCTAGATTCACTGCCTCAGCAAACCATAAATGAACTTATTGTCCATTTTTTTGCAGTCGGATGATTACATTTGTGGTATTGTGCGCAGGTAAAGACAGCTCAGGCCTGAGTGACTCTGGTGTGGCCCCGGACTCGGACCCCGGCGCTGGCATGGACTCCAGTTTCCTGAAGGACTCGAGCGGAAAGAGCAGCTCTGAGCAGACCCCCAGCTCCGACCTCAGCCCCCTGGACAAAGGCACGGACGCCGGGGGGGAGAGCAACAAGGGCAAGAAAAGACGCAACCGCACCACGTTCACCAGCTACCAACTGGAAGAGCTGGAGAAAGTGTTCCAGAAGACACATTACCCAGACGTGTACGCGCGCGAACAGCTGGCTCTGCGGACCGACCTGACCGAGGCCCGAGTCCAGGTGAAAGAGAGCTTCACTGTCTATTTACTGTGTTACAAAGTTCCCATTTACACCAACTGTAATATTTGTTTGTAAACATTGCACTTATAAGTGGCCTACACTGCACCAAATGACCTTTCAACTTTGAAGCAACATTAAATGGGAACTTTGTGATCAAATACATCTAATACATCTATTGAATCCTTTCTCTCAAAACAGTTTGACTCTGTCACTAGTCTTTACGTGCATGTGTTTTTGACCTCTGTTACATCTTTAGATCAGCCTTTTCAGACAGAAAAATCTCTCAGCCCAAAGAGTCAAATAGTGGCTCACTGGCCTCTTTCTAATATGCGCAAGATAATATGTTTCCTAATGACATGTTGTGATCTGATTTGTTCACAACATTGTACTTTCACATGACTCTTTCTGTTGTTGTGTTAGTTATGTAAGAAAAAAAAGGTACCCCAGCTTTAATGAAACAGTCAGTGTAGTCCAGTACTATTTTCAAGTGAGAAGTTTTCGTGTAAGTAAAACAAGAAAAATTTCAACTGCAAATACTCAAAATAAATACTTTCCTTAAGTTATTATGTCCTATCATTAGTGGCAAATTACAGATCTTGATGAATTAGGAGATACTTTATTCGTCCCACAGTGGGGAATTGTCAGTGTTGCATCACAAGTTACAGAACAGTAGGAATGAGGAGCACGCAGCACAAGATATATGAAGAATAACTCTATACTAAAATTAAAATAAAATAAAATGGATTCTCTAACTATAACATAACAAGAAGCAGTATCCAATCTCTATCTTTAGCCTAATAAGGAAAGAAGTCTAAAATCTCCAACTTTACCATGAGATTCTATCAAATTCTTATACTAGAAACCTGAATCCTTAAAACGTCGCAGATGTAACGAGAAGCTAATTAACCCACAAATTCAGCTTTTCTCTTTCGGATCTTCCCCTGTCATTGTACCCACATGCACGGACAAATGCATGTGCTCCGTAGGGCTCTTTAAACATCTGCCTCTCTCCAAAGATAACGTCACTCACAGAAAAACACAGGAGATTTATCTGGTAATGTGGGAGTAGTGAGGAGCGAGAGTGGGGGGAGTGGGGTTACAGAGGCCAGGCAGGGGCCCACTGGAGCTGCCTGTGTCTCAGATGTGCACTGTAGGAGAGCGGGCTTCTATGAACAGCGAAAAGAGCACACTTTTTAAGAAATAGTTTGGCATTGGATGTGTAATGGGGTAGAAAAATCTCAAGTCATTACAGAGGATTCTTTCGAGACCAGGCACAGTGATGATGAGTTACTTGTATTTGAGCTTCCTTGCACAACGTCTACATCCTTAGCACTATTTTGAGACTACTAAAGCTGTAGGTCTATGGTTGTTTAGATTGAGTGGCGTATAGTGTGCGTGTTCATACTGGCTGTGGTTGGTCTGGTTCACTTTAACTGGACCAGATATGGTTCACAAAAAGTCCTTATTTGTGGATGTAAAACCACCAAACAAACAAACAATTAAGTCAGTTTACATCTTTTGAAACTGATTTTTTATTTATTTTTATGTTTCCTGCCTTCAAGTGAATCCGACTGGGATCAAGTTGGTTTGAGAATAAATCAAGTTTTTTCTGTAGGACATGGGTCATCCCGCTCCCTATGGACCAATGGCTTCTATGTGTTTGTTATTATTACATTTCCTGTGTTCGAACCGTTTGATTCTTTCTTGATCTGTTTTTGGCAAATCAAGAACTCTTTAAAGTCCTCCAAGAAGACTGCTGTTGTAATTAAGATCTATGCAACAACAAAAAAATAATAATCAAATTCAATTGGTCTTAAAAGGATTAATTCATGATTATTTGATACTTTTCTGCATTTACTGTCTTTTTTTGTATAGCTTTTGTGTGATCTCTATGAAGGCTTTGGAACTGTCATTTCAGTGAGATTTATAGTTGTTTTTTTATCTTTTGATAGACTAACGATTACACAATTATTGAAGTATGCTGTACTTCATACTGTACTGTATATACGTTCACTTTTACCTGAGTATCTGTTATTTCAAAGATGCTGCTTCTATTGACCAGCCGTGCCCGTACAGTTTGCCCGCTCCATCCACCACTGGGTACTGAGTAAATTATTGCCAGGACTTCTGTCATGCATTCCTACAAATGGAACAAGGCGAGTGACCTCCAACTATTTCTATGCGATCCAAGGGTGAGTGTGAGGGCCCTGGTTCGCCAAAGCCTCGGATTTGCAATGTTTTTCTTTCATTAACTTCCTGTTCAGACAAGAATGTGTCCCTGCTGAGGTCTCTGGGGTAGGTGTGAAGCCTTCCCAGGGGCTTGGAGCTAGTTGATATTTTAGGCTCACTTTAGTCAAACAACCTGGAAAGATATCTCTGCGGGTTGGGGTCCTTTTTCTGCCGCGTGGCCTCTTGCTGCACTTTTTCTACCAACACCTAAAATACGCCCATAGTGTCATGTGTATTGGAATGTCAAAACACTATTCTCTTCGACAAAGTACAGAATTATTATGATGGTGAAACCGCTTACATTTTGTTTAACGTTATTGACTTTGCATTTAGGAGATTAAAGTAATACAAATTAAATGTGTAGATGCAAGACGATATTATGCAATAGTTTAAAGATTTCAATGATTTACTTTTATCTATTCAATTCATTCATTAAGTCATTGGATAGTTTTTCCTCTTTTCATTCAGTTTAACAACATTTTCACATCACATGAACTTTCAAAAGACTAGTGCTAGTTTAATTACTCAATTGTAGATTCCACTGAAAATTACTGAACATTTCTGAAACTTTCTGAAATGTCTCCACTGCGAGACAAATAAAGGTATGTCTTATCTTATCTATCCCGCAAACTGACCAATGTGTCTAAATCATTGTAATGTGCCAATTTAAAGCTGGGATACCTAACTTTTTCACTTCATAAATAACAGATGTTGTTTGGCGGATTAAACTAGAACTCTTTGCATCCAAGTGACTCTGACTCATTTTCTCTTAAGATATTTGGCTTCCCCCCTCAGAAGAGCACCGACTTCTTACGACTTTTGAGCCCCTAAGCACTCCTATAGCCTCTCCTTTTAATCAATAGATGTTGTTTGTCCCAACAGAAAGAATCTTGTAAAAGAATCAGACGCAGCATACTCTTGTCATCTTAACAGAAAACGTATTATCTATTGCATACTTTTCAGAAAAAGCCCCATGAGTCACTATTTGATGAGTGAGGGTGCAGACCTCTCTTCACTTTTATGTCTGAAAAAGCTGATTGACAGAGATGTAACAAAAGCCAAAATGACTAGAACCAAAGTATTTTCAGAGCAAATAACTAGTTACACATTTTATTTATATAATATGTTTGTTGGGGTTTGACAGTTCGGAACTCCCCCAGCTTCAACAAAGTTAGGGTTACTTTTGTTTTGCAAGGATTGATGATGTGCGAGACTTCCTTTCTTCCTGTCTTAAACGTATTGGGGTGTTGCCATTTATCTTTTTCCTTCTGTTGGATCTTCATCTTTTTTTTTTTTGGCCCTCCTGCTACATATTTTTCATATTGAACTATGGTCATTTGGCGACTTGTTTAGGTGGACTGCAGCTGCATCGGGATTGCAATGGGATAAATACAGGCAGATCTATTGCATTCTTTCTCTGTGGCATGTGGCCCTTTGTACCTAGTGTCTAGTGAAAAGGTGCAGGGCAGGAGTGGGGTCTTTTACTGTGTGGGGAGAGACAGGAAATGTGCGTGGCCCGCAGGGTTATAACTCAACCCCTGAGGCTCTGAAGATATGCCTCTCTGCACATTTTATCACACACCGGACTGCCTCAGATGGACCCAGCTTTACGGCCCTCTCCTTCTCCCAGCGGCCCTCTTAAACTCTCAGGCGGAAAAGATAAAAGACTCGGAATGCCTTGTCAGTCAAAAAACACGCCGCTCTGGCCTCCACTCATTCACACGTGAGGAATCGCAGCTCATCAATTTTGCAGTTTTGGGGGTGAGACACCATTTTTACGGCTGGGGAGAGGTATAGCATGCATCACAGTTTGGCAAAAAGAATGGAGCTATGTGGAGGCGATTCGGCATGAGATGTTTGCTTTTGCAGTTTCAAAGGGATAAAGCAGCTCCACGTCGAGTCGTATGCACTGCGGAAACACCGGCGGGTCAGGGGTGGATGGTCAGAGGTTTCAATAACACGGCGATCAGAGATTTGCCTTTGAGCGCAGGGCTGAGATGGTATCTGGCACATGCAGCCCAGCAGACTCTCAGAACAAGGGGATTTCAAAACACTAAATGTTGGTGCAGTAAAGGAATGAGAATGTAGAATATGAGCTTGATCCATGGTTTTCGTATGCAAAATAAATATTAGGTCTAAATTAGCAAATACTCAAGATAATTACTGTCTTCCACTTACTTATATCCCTCTATCAACAGTACGTTATTGGCAAATTATACAGATATTATCATTAACTAAAGGTTTTCAAAGCTATTATACATTTATGTTAATGTAACACTGCTAACAAAGAAATGAATGGGACATATAACATTCTTACTAGAAACTTGAACCCAAAAACGTTGCAGATATAATGGGTATAAGATATAAACCCACAAATTCAGCACTTTATTCATTGCTTCTTATTCAAAATTAACCTGTATTAGCACTAAACAAGGGCTGGCTGAAATGTTGGGGGAATTTGTTTTTCTTCTGTATTTCACTTGAGAGGTGGGGGACAGGGAGTACAGATGATTATTATAACCTATAAGATTGTGTATTTCAATTATTAATCATTGAAACAGATTTTTATTTTTATTTTTTGCAACAGCCCAACACTAAACTCCAATTGTGTATTTCACATACATATGAGTTATGGATCCCATATAGAAAATAAGAGACAAATATACACCAGCGTGACTCTGAATATTGTTTGATTAAAAGCAAATCAAAAGTTATTCATATTCAGTGTTTCGGAGAGACTTCTTGTTTTTATGAATGAGAGACTTATAAGTACATTTCATATGAGCCGTCACAGGACAAGCTTATCATTAGTGACAATAAATAAATGTGAAAATATTTAGGGTTGTCATCTTTATCGCTTGGTTAATAAATCATATGTTTTAGGTGACTGATTATTTAATAAATTTCTAACTGCAATATTTGGAAAGTATAGAGAAAATCATCTGAAGATTTTGGTATTGTCATGAGGTGAAAAAAACAAAACAAAACAGAACCCAAAATCCAGGACTGAATATAAATCATAATTTAATGAGGTAAAACCAAATCCAGGGTGAGAATAAAACACAAAAATCATAAAATAAATCTACAAACGGGGGATAGTCAATGGACAGACAACAAGTGGGGAAAATCACATGGTGTAAATATACAGAGAGACAAAGGTAAATTATTAAGGCGGGGAAAACATTCATTGACAGGGAGAACTCAAAAAGACAAGACGACAGATGAGGTAACTAACTTTTTATATTAATAGCAAAATATGTAAGTAACTCTGCCTATATAGTTACTTTTATGATAGATTTATGTGCTGAGTATCATTTAAATCACACAGTAATTAAGATCTTTCGCCACGTCAGGCAAAAGTCAACAAAACATTAAAAAAATTCCACTTGCTTTCCTATTCTTGTAAAATCCAGAAGCAAAAAGCTAATTTCTCAATGACTTTTGGCTCATATCACTGCTACCATCACCCTAAAATAACACTGTGTCAACAAGAAGATAGCATTTCATCGATTTCTATTTTGCTTGACCTTCTCATAATCTTTAAAGGAAGCCACAAACTGTTTGCTGAAGGATTCCTGAATGAGTTGAACAAACTTACATTTTAATGAGCAACAACAGTGGTCAGAGGTGTTTCCAGGGTGTTTTTTCTACTGCTTATGGGCGCTGGAAAACCTAAAGCCGGTCTGAGGCCGGGGATTTCTCTGGTGGACTTGGGTTCGGAGCTGACGTGAGTGACAGGAAAGGCGGGTTATCAATCGTCACAGCTTCAAAGTCTGGTCGGTCTGCTACAGCTCTCCTGCTGGGGCCAGTTTGCCATTTCTCTGCTCTTTCTCTCTGGGGCCGTAACATAAATAAAGGCTCATTGAAAGTCCGTCGGCTACTTAAGCTGTCAAGGTCTTTACCAATTACTGTCATGACGCCGAGTGTGCAACGCAAAAATGTGTTCCTGCTCATATAATCGCCAACAGGCCTGGCACAGGGCATTAAAAATACTTGGATCTGTACCGAAACATGGGGCAGGGATGGAGTTTAGAAAGCGTGTGTGTGGGAGGGGGTAACATGTAGTTCATTTTATAAGCTTTTATTTTTCTGTTACATTTGTGTGTAGTCACCTGTAACCCGCTATTGTCTTTATCATTGTACTATATTTGTGTTACGATAAGAATCACTGTATTGATCCCAAGGGACATTATACGCAGCTTTGCATGAAGAAAAGCACACTTGAATGCAGAAGTTTTTGGAGGCTTGGAATTATTATACTGTCTGCAATCTACGATTTTAAGATCAGGACTCCCAGAATTCTGAAATTACTAGAACTCCCACGGCCATCATTTTGACGGCTCTTATACATTAGGAAAAAAAAGAAAAAAAAGACATTGTTTTTTAGTTTTTCACTAGATTTATTAAAGTTAGTCATTTATATGTTTTTTACTTTTTAATAAGTGGTGAATATGACTTCAAATACAGACAGACAGTTGAAAGGGTAACAAATGGTAACTGCTGCATGTACACAGTGTGTTGCTATGGTAACTCAGCAGAACCAGAACGAGTGCATTTGAATTGTACATTCAAATGAACGGAGCGGTCAAAGTTCGGAAGACCAAAAATATAAGCTGAGTAATTACCATAGACTGTAAATAACTAATTACGCTTCCATAACTATCCATCCATCCATCCATCCATTTTCTTCTCCTTTATCCATTTCTAACCCTGAACCCTTGAAATATAGTGCCCTGGGAGCTTGCGTCATATTTATGGGTTTCAGTGTCATTTTGATAACCATCTGAAATATTGTGTTTGTATTTGATAATTGTTATGGACACAGTGTGATTTCTTCATCACTCTTTGTACACAGTATATTTCTTAAAAAAAATAATAACTGTAGAAATAAGAATATACTGTAGGAGTCACAAAAGACTGTTGTGCTGCTTGTACGCACCTGTCAGGCAAAATGACGCAGGTTATAACAAATCTCTTTTATATTTAGACATTTACTCAATTTTTTAATGTGATTTAGATTCAATAAACAGCAGTCTCAGGTTCACATGTCAAATATGATTATGGAGAATGAAATTAACCAGGGCTGCTACTTTCAAACAAACTGCAGTAGTCGTGTAGCTCTATGGCACAGTTTCATTTTATAAACCATTTATTCATGACAAGAAACATATCCAAGCAGGAGTTTCAACAGACACAGCTTCAGTTGTTTTTCCTCATGCGTCATTCTTTATTGCCTTCACATATGGAACAAAAATACATAAAGCCATTAGTCCGTAAGGGGCAGATGACCAGTGTCGATAATAAATGATAATGGATGTTCTTAAATGCCGTTAAATGTCCTGGATCATCACTACCGTCCTTAGACCCTGCTGCATCTGCAAGGAACAACAACAAAAACCCAGAGGGGAAAAAAGGGCCCACATTGAGGGAGGGCGGACGGGTTATAGATCCAGGACACAAGTACATGCAGACATATTTAGAAGGGTTTGCTTATAGTTGCCTGATTTATAATGGGGTATGTCAATGGAACAAACAAGATAAGAAACTAAACTAAGATAAGAAAACAAAAATGTTCTCACCCGGAATGCTGTGCCTAAAAAATACATTAGAAATTCATATACAATACATACAAAATACAAGACATACAAAATGCTGTTCTAATAGAAAACAGGATAAATCAAAGCAATTATTGACTTTTTATTGTAGTCACAGGGAGACCATTCCCCTTCCTCATTCCCTCATCCTTCTCCAGCAGTGAAAATAATCGCCCTTTTTTGTTCCTTGCGCAGGTTTGGTTCCAGAACCGCAGAGCTAAATGGAGGAAGAGAGAGCGCTTTGGTCAGATGCAGCAGGTCCGAACTCACTTCTCCACAGCTTATGAGATGCCCCTTCTGTCGCGCCATGAGAACTATGCACAGGTAAGACAAGGGACAAGGGGCGGGGCTACAGTACAGTACAGGACACGTTTAGTTATTACACCTGCCTCTCAGCTCACTGCAGAAGAAAATACAACAGTCCTCACTCAAGTCAAAGCCAGGGAGTAAACCAGTTCACTTTTTACTCTGAGACGCCTCCAAAATTCCGAATGAATGTTAGAACCCATTGGAGCACAAATGGCTTGACTTTTTATGGAGTTGCCCTATAGTTTTGGCCTCTGATTACTTTTTTCCTTATAAGTGGGAACAATCTCTGCACAGAGAATGATCAAACTTCAAAACTATAGCTGCTTCTATTTGACTGTAGAAGTACATTTCTCCATTGTGAGATCTAAAAAGTGTATCTTATCTTATCTTAGAATAAGCAAACTTTGGGTTTTAACTATACTTTCTCCACAGCTGAGGCAAAGGTCACTGTGAATGAGATTTAGAGACATGTAATTAAGCAAAAATCTGTCTGTATTCACTTTTTTGCTCATTTTTGTATCAATATTTTATAGTGAGTTCGGAGTTCGAACTAGTCCAGGTTCTCTCCCAGAATGTTTGACTCTAAATAAGAGGGATACATCAATTGTGTTTTTGTCAGTCAAAAAACAATTTTAGTAAGAGTGAAATCATAGAAGAAGAGTAAAATCCAGTTGCACCTCTACGGGCACATCAGTATTTTTAAAGGGGTTTTAACCTGAGTCTTTTCCTGTATTTTGATTATATTTTTCCCGTCCCATCAGATCCAGAACCCGTCATGGCTGGGTGGCACGAGCGCGGCCTCTCCGGTGCCAGGCTGCGTGGTCCCCTGTGACGCGGTGAGCCCCTGCATGACGCCTCACCCGCACTCGGCCAGTGGAGTGTCCGACTTCCTGGGCGTCCAGAGCTCCGGGGGACACGTGGGCCAGTCTCACATGGGCAGCCTCTTCGGGTCCTCCGCCATCAACTCGTACGATCTCAACATGGACCCCGACCGCAAGTCCTCCAGCATCGCCGCGCTGCGCATGAAAGCGAAAGAGCACAGTGCTGCCATATCCTGGGCCACATGAGGCGTTCACTGCCCGCGGGACGTTCTTTTGAAGATTTATCAGATTTATCACTCCTCCCCTTTGTGGGTTCACTGGGGGAAATGACAACGGTGAAGGCAACGATTACTACCTTTTGACTTTTGCCACCAAATGATGAAAATGTTGAAGGAAAAATTGGTGCTGTGTTTTTGATTTCAGCAACAGACCGCGTTAGGAAATGTACATGCACTTATAGGATTTGCTTTTTCTGTTTATGCTTACGCTTTGCAGGTGCTGTTTTATTTTATTTAACTTTCTTTCGTTCCAATACTTTGTCCGATGCAAGCTGGGTCTGTTTAAACAAAAGTAATAGAGCCTCGCTGCATTGTGTGAAAGTGGGTTGCGCAATTTTAGTTTTACTTGAGTAGTGTGATTTTTATCTTTTTGTTCACTTTTAGACTGAAAGGGCAGATGGATTAAACTGTTTTTGTGACCTTGAAACAGCAGAAGCACAAAACTTCAAACCAAACCAACTCCTTTTTTTGTCCAAAGACTCTTGGGAGAAGCCCTTAATTCTCAAAAAGTGCCTGTCTCTCAATCACACAACAACCAGCTGATTTGAAAACGTTGGGACTTCTTGAACTTCTCTGCGTCGTCATCTCAAAACATTGAATTTCGAATTGAATTTCCTATTTTTGCAATAGACTTTTACTGATGTAATTTATTATTACCGTATATTTTTTTAAGGAATCACCTCATTCAGCAGCAAACCAAAAAAAACAATATGATTAACGAGAGGCGTAATTACTTTTGTTTTGAATACTTTTACTATGCTATTTTTACTCCGATTTTTAGCTAAGGCTGTACACCCCAATGCTTTATCCTATTGGGTTGATTGGCAGCCATGGTTTTCCTTTTCATATGGTGGAATTTGGACAAACCCATTTTCAACAGTACGTCCTCATGCCATTTTGGGGTTCCTACGTTGAGAGCTTAAACCATAACAAAAGCTTTAGTTTCGTAACTTGATACACAGCGCACCTTTGGTCGGAGAAGTCGCCCCCACTAATGCTTTAAACCAAACCACATTTATCAGACTTCTGGGCAGGTAGGGTGGACGGAGGGGATGGGCTGTTGGAGAAGCATTGAAATTACACCCAGTTTACCCCCCGGCTCAGTGTCCTCAGCATAAATGTGATTATAGATATATGCCAGCAGACGTCGGAAGATCTGGTCAGAGGCGTTGCAGTGGAACAGGCACAATAGGGCAGTTGTGGGGAGGACAGAAAGTCAGAAGGCCCCCCCAGTAGTAGCAATGATAGCACGCTGCATTGCAAGTGATTATTTGGTCAAGGGAAGTTAAGATGTTTAGACCAGTGCATACACAACTCAAAGTGCCTATAGTGGGTTTCTAACTGTAATAGGAATGCAAAGGTAGACTGAATAATATAAACTTCACCCACAGCCACACTTCAAAATGAGCTGCTGAATTGCTCAGACCTGGGTGGACTGTGTCATTTCGTATTTGCTCCTAATCAATCAATCAATCTTCGTTTTTTATAAAGCGCTTTTCATACATAAAAAGCAACACAAAGAGCTTTTTCATTTTGGTTAAAAACAATCCCACATGCCCATGACCGACCACCCAACAGACCCACCCCAAACCACATACAGTATATTATTAAGAACGCACACAAAGACGCACACGCTAATGAGTGGCAACTAGTCTAAAATTGACGATGAATTATTTGTGTACCATTGTAATTGGCATAGAAATCACTACAACAACAAAAACGGTAAAGGGTTAAAGGGGCCCTGAAGACCCACTAGATTAGACTTGTGAATATGGGGCCCGCTTCAGGCTGAAGAAGAGGTCTGGAGGGGCGGAATCAGAGGCTGTGTCCGCTGTTCTGGGAAAAGGACAGTGCACACAGCTGCGCTCAGGGGGTAAATGCAAAACAAACATGCCTCAGATATACTTCCCCTCTCAGCTGTCATGGCTCTGCTTTCAAAGACCCCAAAACCCTTGCTCGACTGATACTGGCCCACCTTTGATACTCACATAGACAGTCATCATATCGCCCCATTCTGTACTTGGGCTGTCCATTTGTCCTTTCCTGAACTGGTGCGAGGGGCTTAGAGTGAGGCAGAGGAACGCTGTGGTCCAAGAGGCCTTTTAATTAACTTAGGGCAGTGAGTGTAGTGTGTCAGGATAGAAATGGGAGTGAAGTGGTCCTCACTAGTATACATTACTCTCGGGTCCATGTATTATGTACATGTGTGTTTTAGTCATTTCATATTTTTAGATGGACCATTTGAGATTCTCTTTTGGTTTGCATTCATTTCATTAATCAATCCTATGTCCTCCACATCAGGGTTCTCCCGTCTCTACATGGTTAATAGCCATTCACCTGAACCAAAGTTTGTTTTCATTTTTCTTCTACAAATGTGTTCAAGTGGTGCCATTGTTCAATGCTAAATACGTGATTGTTGTCGGTACACATTATTTATAGCCACAAGACCAAATTAGAAGGCAGATATTTGCAGAGCGTGTTGATCATTCTTAAAATAATGATGCAAACATGTCAATAAATCCATTTGAAATAGTATAACCCTAGCACTGCCATTCATAATCCAGCCATAAATATTTGACTAATATTTAGAATAAGGTGAACCTAGAAAAATAACAGTCCACATGTTCAACCGGCCACATGGGAACCTCCTCTGTCCACCTGGGTCGGCCCAGTGACTCCACAGTGCTGATTAAATTCAACTTTATTTTCTCGTACTACTGAAGCCATATGATCAGTTTATGAGCAATTGTATATTTTAATAATATATTGTGTGTCTTTTGTGCATGCATGAACTGGACGTGTGTAAACATGTCATGTTTTTGAGTTGCTTTGTGTTATTTGTCATTATACATCTACAATTGAAGGATTTTTTTAGCTTTAAGCTTCTGTTGGCATATTCTTGTTTTGAGTGTAAATAAAAGACAATAAGTTATTGCATTTTGTGTCGTGTGTGTGTGCAGTTAAAGAGGTCATAAAGATAAAGGCTGTCACTTGAAACAATATGTTCAAATTGTGGTAGAATATATATTTATGATAAAATACAGTATGAGCAGGCGTTCCTAACCAGTTTTTGCTCTAGTAGTTAGTTACTTTATTGAAACCCCCGAAGGAGAAATTCAGGTGTCCAGTAGCAGAAAAAACACATCCATCCACACAAACAAAACTTACATTTGAAACAAATAAATCTAAGTGAGACGTAAAATTATGCATTGTTGGGATTATTGCAATATTTATTTTACTTTTGTCTTGTATACAATACAAAATCATAGATATGTACACTCTGTAGTCTGTACATGAAGGCAAAACTTTTTAATAAAAACGAAAAAAGGAAATATATTAACAAAGATGTAACCAAAAAAAAAGAAAGACAAATACAAGTACACATGAAAAGAACTAAAATTATTAAACTGTAAACGTTGTAGAATAATCAGATAATCACAAAAGAGCATCAACAATGTGAAGGAGTTAAAAAGACAAGCTGCCTGTTTAAATCAAAAACATTACGGTCAAGCATCGTGGCCAAACATTTGAACAACGTTTAAAATGCCTCAGTCTGCAACAGTTATTACGTCCATAACAAATACACGTTCATGGCACCAGGATTGGCACAATATGACCTTGTTAAACATGATGTATTTGCCTTCTACAGGTCTACAGCTAAAACAAACATTCAACCATTAAAATCTCAAGAGGAACATAATAAATTATCTATATATTCTGTATATACACTATACATTCTTAACAGCATATGGTTTTTGTCCATTCACTTTCAACAACATGGTGTGGCACAGGTCAGTCTTACAACATTGAAATGTGGTTGTATGAAATAAACTGACCTAAATGATATGTACATGTATGAATGTTGCGTGTAGATACTGAGCTGATGCTGTGGGAGTTGTGATGAAACAATTGAACTTGTGACCAGGGTCATCAGAGGCTGCCGATGTTGGGAAAACTCTTGAGCTTCTCAGGGAAGTCATCTTTGTAGAGGACTGGGTCTGCGCGGTGCTCCACTACCTTCAGAGGCATTGTGCCAAAAACGGAGGCAAACTTGTTGATGCACTCGGATCTGTAAAAAACGAATCATACAATTCCTTTAAAGTTGAAATGCTATATCTTATGTATAAGATGGCAGTCTGTTGTGGTCTGATTTGTTCAAAGAAATGTTACTTAAACAAGTGTTAGCTCAAACGAAATGTATTTATGAAACAAAATAAAAGTTAAGTGCACCAGCTTTATTGAATTCCCTATTATGAACATTGAAAGGCTCACCTCTCAACCATGTGAGTTTGATCCAGTGACAACCCATCAATGGCTGTGCATTCAGGACACTTAAACTTTTTCCTGGGGGTCACCTGCACAAAACAACAAAACCACATTAGCTTGTGGTGAGTAACAACGATGCTGAACAAGTCAAAAAAGGGATTATTCATACATTTAATCAGAATCAGAATCAGAATCATTTTTATTGCCACGTAAGTAACAGGAGGTCACAGACTTGGAAATTGCTTTGGCTCAGTGCAACAGTCAAAAAGAGATAATAAAAATAAGAATAAAAAACACTTCTAAAGAATAAATTTAAATTTAAAATAGAGTTACAGTTACTATTTACAATATACAAGTGCACATGGTGCACACAATGTAAGGTGACAGCAGTACAGTGAAGTACAGTGACGTATGATGGGCAGTAAAGTGACTTTATAAAGGGCGGGGGGACAGGTTAAGAAGTGTTCAAGAGTCCAACAGCAGAAGGGAAGAAACTGTTCTTGTGGCGGGAGGTTCTAGTCCTGATGGACCGCAGCCTCCTGCCTGAGGGGAGTGGTTGGAATAGTCCATGTGCAGGGTGAGAGGGGTCGGCTGTGATACGACCAGCCCGGCCTCGAGCTCGGGCGACGTACAGGTCCTGCAGCGATGGAAGGCTGCGGCCGATCACTTCCTCTGCAGAGCGCACAATGCGCTGTAGTCTCTGTTTGTCCCTGACTGTGGCTCCAGCGAACCACACGGTGATGGAGGAGGTGAGGATGGACTCGATGATGGCCGTGTAGAACTGCACCAACATCTGTGCAGGCAGCTTGGCTTTCCTGAGCTGCCGCAGGAAGTACATCCTCTGCTGGGCCTTCTTGATGAGGGAGCTGATGGTCGGCTCGCACTTGAGGTCCTGGGTGATGGTGGTGCCCAGGAAACGGAAGGACTCCACAGAGGTGATGGGGGAGTCCATCACGGAGGGTGGGGGCGGGGGGACAGTGCTCTTCCTGAAGTCCACAATCATCTCCACTGTCTTCTGGGCGTTCAGCTCCAGGTTGTTACCACTGCACCAGGACACCAGCCGGTCCACCTCCCTCCTGTAGGCGGACTCATCGTTGTTGGAGATGAGTCAACCAAAGCAAATCTTAAAGTGACACCCCTTGAGATTAGATGTGACAAAATTGGTTGTTTGATTTGATTGTCATTGTGTACCACTTCTTGGCATGTTTGGTCCAGGTCTCATCTATTTAAGCACACGTTTTAGCTCCATGGACTACTGGCTGACATTGTCTCACTTTTAAATTACATATATACTTTTTGTATTGTGGGGCACTTTGTGACTCTGTGAAAGGTGCTAAACAAATAATATTTACTTACTTGCTAAATTAGTTGAGAATGATTTTGATTAAATTGTGGCAGCCCTAAAGAGAACCTTTATTCATTCCACACTGGTGAAATTTCAGACACTTTTATCAAAAGAATTGGGTCAAAAAAAGACAACTGAGAAACCAATGGCTTCCTGCTTCCATGTAAACTGTTAAAAAGACATGTGGCCTAATGTTCCGAGGGGATCTAAAAACACCAGTGAAACCAGGGAGAGCAGTATGTGTGTGATCTGATGGCAAGGTGCGAGCGCATGTGAGCTTAAAAAAACACGCCACTTGGGGAGTGCCAGTGAGTGACGCGTAGATAAGGGAGGTTAAGGCCAGGCCTGGGCGCCTGCACCTGGACCTGGACCTGGATGTTGGGGGTTTGGGGTGCCAGTTCGATGGAAGGTGAGATCTGATCCGGGCAAGAAAATGGTCTGTCCCGTCAGCCGGGGGAGCGATCTAAACAGTGAAGCTACGCACCTTTATGGGGGCTTTGCCGGTGATGTTGGCCACCAGGAAGTTCATGGCAATGTCCTCACAGTTCATGTGCGCATCCACCCAATTCTTTATATCTCCAGGCATCTTGTATGTGTAAAGATAGTTGAAGTACTAAAAGGAGAAACAAACATTGTTTCGTGTCAATATTTGCTGAAGGTGGAAAGATGGATTTGTCAACGTGGTTTCACCTTGTGGTAGAATGCTGCTCCCGTCAACACCATAGAAACCTCATTGGTCCACTCAGATTCATACTTCCACTTGCCCATTTCATGATCCCAGAGATGCAGGCGCCCAGGATAGCCAACCAGTCTGTCGGGGAACTCCCTCCAAACCTAAAGAAAGAAAGATTAAAATGTAATAGTAAAACCACACCTGGGTGATTGGCTACAGTTCAGACGGCAGTGCAGAAGTCTGTCATGAATACAGGCAGACAGCTCTTTTAAATTGGTGTAATTATCTTTAAACTGAACTCAATTGTATTAAATGGCTTCTAAATGCATTCAGGTGAGGCCTCCGTCCGACATGGCAGGTATGTGGACATAGAAAACTTCACCGCAGAACTTGTCCTCATTTCTCACACATCAAACAGAAAATGAGAACAGGCTGTAATCCCATGAACGCCTTTGAAATCCAGGATCAAATTAAAGCTGGAGCTGTTAGTGAATGGGTCTAACAAGAGTTAAGTTTTCTGAGCTTTCTCACCTCGTATCCAAACTGCAGCTCATCGGACGTCAGCATGATGATGTCATCATCAATGGCCAACACAGCCTCTGTTTCGATCTCGTCATATGGAAAAAAGCGGTTGCTCAGTTTGTTCTCTTTGGTGCGAACCACTTTCAGTGGAACCCCGATCTTGGGCCACAGTGACTCTAGAGATAAATAATATCAAGGCTTATTGTTGTTTTAATAAAGCTGAAACGTTAAGGATTAGAATGACGTGTATCTCAGACAGTCAAAGTTGCCTGAGCAGCTCTGACAGACACTCCCTGACTTCATATCATTGGGCAAACCTCAAGCACGTGCAAATGTAACCACACTACAATTCTTCACAAGGGACATCAACACAAGGTTTTTTCAGGAAACATTTCAAAGGCGTTGGGTAGTGTCCATGGCACGGACTATGGTACAGATAGATCATACACAAATGCGCCTCCTCATTAATAGTATAAAAGCCCTTGGCAGACCATGAGAGGAGCCTGCAGTCATCCTAACCATGTCTGAGGCCTGCTGTCAAAACCTATTGTTGGGAAAACGGCGATGTTAAATGCTCGAGTCACTGTTCGTGCAGCTGTCAACTCTTTTATTATTCAGGTCTTTCATTGCAACATCACAGTGAAGAAAAACAGCTCAGTAGAAAAGTAAATATTTACACACAATAAAAATAAGTATTATTTGAACTTCTCTTTAGTTGATAATGAGAATAACACCAGTTAATTTAGTAAACATTCCTCTGCCGTGTGTAGCTCTGAATCATCAGTTTAAAGATCATAGTGACCCGTCAATGGCCTCTTGTTAATTCTAATGGGTCACAAAGCTCCAGCCAGGCGCCGCCTGATGCCTAATGAAAAGACAACTCACAGCCACAAGGGAGCACTTCAAAGTTTTCTCACTTCTTCATTACACAACTCACACGGCAGCAAGACGCAGCTCCAGCTGATTGTAGTCTGAGGCATCATGCTACATACAACATGACAAATCTAAATTCTGATTCACAAAACACAATTTAATTATGAGTCTGATACCAGAAATCCCCATAAATCACATACATGTACAACCATGAAAATAAAAGCATGTACCGATGACTAGGAAATGCATGCATCTGTAAGGCTACCTTCAGGTGGACTCTTGTTCTGGTTATTCCACACTACCAGCAGTTTGGCCAAACTGGGAACTTTGGAGATTTCGGTGATGACGCGGAAGAGACTCTCCACGCGGTCGTAGGTCAATACAACGGCGGTGAAACCAGGGGCACGTGGTGGGATCAGTGGCAGGAACAGAGGACTATTCACACTCGCCCACTTCTGTAAATGGCAAATAACAGCAGCTTTAATGCTTTATTTAAAATCAACTTAAATAAAAATACCATATTCAAGCTTCTGAGAAAATGTATTAAACAAATGTGTTGATGTCTGTAACAATAAAACTGCTATAGCACCACAAATGGAAAGGAGACTTGATGGCTAAATCTACCAAACAATTTGATCAATATGCACTGTTATATTAAAATAAAACGCATATATTTCACTTGCTTGGGTCACACTGGGCTGTGGGCTCCTTGTTTAAGAGCCGGTGTCTCTGTTCCAGGTGACCACAGACTCAATGAAGTCGGTTTGTGGCCACCTGTCAACAGACCGAGCAACTGTTTAAAACATCAGTCGCAGCTCCGTCCAATAAAACACTTTATTATCAAGTGGAAACTTCCCTGAGATTGTAGCAACATGCTTTTAGAAGAATTTATTTAAGTCATCTGAATTTATTTTCATACTAGCTTAATGTTAAGATGCAAATGGCTGAACATTGTTAAAATGTACTTATATTACATATATTTATACAACTTTTTTAAGTGTGTCCCTTTCTGAACCCCCTCCTAAAGCACAAGCAATCCCCAAAAGTCTGTTTTCAATTACCAGTCAAGAGACTACACAGAAGGGGGCTGTGCCTGATTTATTTAGTGCTCTTGTAAGTTCTTCTCACCATTCATTCATGCAGCACATCGACAAAACACTTCATCCTCATTTCAGGCTCTAACGGCCAAAGGTCTGCAGCCTGACCCACTTAACCTCTGCCAGAGCAGGACAAACCTGAGTGACAGATTGCTCCGAGAGTTTTCATCTGTGATCAAACTCAAACCCTAATTGTCTCAGGTGATAAAAGTGAATTAGTCAAGGGTACAGAAAGGTTGCAGAGTTTCCCATCAACTGTACTTTTTATAAACACAATGACTCAGACATGAAGGAACCCATATCCACCACAACGCATTGGATCCAGTGTTCAGAAACGCTGACACAAGCAGGCTGCCTCAGAACAGGCTGAGAGAAAACCACATTGAGGAGCTGTCAGTGTGAAGATTTAGGGCAAGTATGGCCTCCACTAAACATGTTTTTAAAACAATTACAGAGGGCATAGGGCCAATAAATTACACAAATGAGAATTTCCAGGACAGAAAAGACATTTGTGTGAAGGTACATACCACGACAGGTGGGTTGTTCCATTGTTCATATGAGCGCGCAGCATATGGGTAAATCCGATCATTGATGATCTGTAGAGTTGTCAAACCAATTGCCTTCATAGAACTGAAGTAAGCCTCCCAGAACCAGTGCGCCTACGGGCAGAGACAGACACGACTCAGCAAACCAACTTTTGATAAATTCACAACAAAAAGGTCAGATATTGATAGGGTTAATATATTTTATGAATAGGAATTTGACCCAACACTTAATCCTTGAATCCCCTAAATCCCATAAACTCTTTCCTTATCTATTAAACTTCAATGGACAGTCCCGAGGCGAGACAAACCTATAACAGTTAATGAACCGTCAAACAACATGGTCTGCAGCCAAAGCCCATCCTCCTCCAACTTCAGCCAAAACAAAAGGAAAAAGTAAAAGACATTTGTAGAATATTCATACGTGCTGTTTTACAAACGTCATGTTTTAATCATCCAAACAAGAATTTACACTATGATCTGCTATGGCAATTATGAGGCACAATATCAACTGCTTTTGAAAAAATATTGCAAAGATTTTGGTCTCGGGGGATTCCCAATGGTCCATAAATCATCCAGTGATGAAAGTGTCCTATCCGGCCGGGAGAACGCAAAAAGAAAACTTCACTGGCCCGAGGGATAATCCTGCAACATCCACATGCTCCCAGTCCCTGCAGGAATTTTTATGACTAAGAAAAAGAAGACTCTTCCCCTCTAAGAATAGAGCCACAACTTCAATCAAAGTCAGCCAGAAACCATGATTTATTTTCCAATATTATCACTCCATATGTAACAATAATATGCATGGGGCATGGACTGTGCAAAAATAAACAAACTAAAGCCCTCATGAAAAGTTTTGCAAACAGTCATTGGCCAGTCTATATATAAAAACATGATTTATAACAATGGAATATCTACAAGTAAATTGCATTGGTTAAACATACAGAAAAAACATTGAAAAAAACAATCTGTGCAGAGTGTATGTCTTTCTGAAAATTTTGTTGACTTAGGAAGTGTAGCGACCCTAAAGTTTAAGATTAGTGAGCCCTCTGCTGGTCAAATAGAGCTCAGAATATTCAAAAACATGTTCATAACCTCCACCATAGAGTGATGTAATTAGTCCGGTCATTCTGCAAGACAACTAAAAAGGATAAACGGGTAGATTGTTTGCGAACGTTTCAGTGAAGCTCAGGAATGAGGTGAGGAATAGATGACTGCATTTTTGGAGGTGATCCAGATCTACATCTGTAGCTGGGAATTATTTTTTTAAAGAATAGTGATGATTTGGGACATTTATGCACATTTACTGACAGTGGCATCGTGGACCCTATGGACCAATGGCTCCTATGTTTGTTTTATTCCTGCATTTACTGTGTTCAAATGTTTAAGTCTCAGATCTGTTATTGGCAAATCAACAACTTTGTAATAATAAAATTTAATTGAATCATTTGTTTGTGAACATTTCCGAGAAGAGTACTGAACATCTCAGCCAAATTGAGAGCTTTGGTTTCTTAACAATCACAATAATAATAATGCTCAATATGTACAGTAAAAGACTGTAGGTGTATGATACAGAATATCAAGAAGAGTTCATGATGAACTCGTGATTATACAGAGGCAAGGTCTCCCAGGAAAATAAGGAGATGTTATGGCAAGATGGGTCTCTTTTTTTGGTTAGATAAAGAACTGAAATCAAAAAACAAAAAATCTACTTCGTTGATTGATAATTTTTTTTTTTTTAAACTGTGGTTTTATTTCATTTCTTGTAGCTTTATTTAATATGGTTAACGTAATAAGTAAATATTATATTCATAGTTTTGGTGCTGAAGTGTTAAATACCTGTCTTTGCATTTCTTCCACTTGTCTGTGAGGTATACTTTTCAAGATGGTGTACATTTCCGAGAGCTTCTCCTCAGGAATAACTACGGATGCCCTAAAATCCAGAATGTTTTGTGAATAAAAATATATGTCTTAAAACAAAGCAAATGTCTTCTAACAAATCTGGTACCTTTTCCAGTCAAGAACCTCAGAAAAGGGCAGTATGTATGAGTCCGCGAGGATGACAGGTACACATCCGGCCTGGAGGACATCGCTCAGAGCTGCTTGTCCGAGCCGCGCGCCGCGAAGAACGACACAAAATGAAGACTCCTGGTGGGATGATAGCGTGAATGTAAAACCAACTCTTCAAAACAAGAAACTAGAAACCTGAATTATTTGTATTGCCATTGTAAGTAACAGGAAGTCACAAACAAGGAATTTGCTTTGGTTCATGTTGCAAACAAGTGATGGAAGTAAAAATAGATGTAAAAAAATCTTCTTAAAATGTCTGCAGTGCACACTAGGTACACACAGCAGACATTTAACAGTGCAGGTTTAAGTGACACATCTAGTGAAGAATACAAATCAAGAAATCCTTTATTCCAAACACAGCCATTGTTCTCACCTGTAGAATCTGGGGGTAGTCATACACTTGTCCTTTATAACATCGTTTTCGGACGGAGGCGGCTCCTTGGGAAAGATTGCTGCATTTGTCCAGCAGCAGCAGCGCTTCTCCGTTTTCCTCTTTAAGACGTTCAAGCTCTGCACGATACTCTCTGTGAATTGCTGTCTGGGATGACAGGATGAAGAAGCGGCGCGGCCTGTGAGCGAGCGAGAAAAACAAATGACTTACACTGAATAAAACAGAAGATTGGTGCTCAAAAACAGCAAGTGGAATCAAATGTGTGGGAGGTCACATCTAACACACAGTTGGCCACAAATATCCAAATTTAAAAACAGTGATATGTTTGCAATAATCCACTTGTGTTCATACCCTGGTTGTCTCTCAGGCAGTTCAACATCTGCAGAAATGGGGCTGTAGACTGGAATACTGACATCATATCCTTGTCTGTAGGTCCAAGTGGAGAAACCACCTCCAGCCAGCAAAGCCCTGGGCAGAAAGAAAGGAAGTAATGTTGTGACAATGATTTAACACAGAAAAAAGTTTGAGTGAAAGGATTCAACATAAAACATGATACATAAATTCTACGCAGGGCCTTTTACCTGCAAACTGAGACCTATGATGACATCAAACACAGGTTTAAGGCCAACTGGTAAAAAGGCTTCATATAAAATCAATGTAATAAACTGCAAGTGATGAAATGAATTTGGATTTTTCCTGAGAAATCCAGGCAAAGGTAAAGTGAAAACAGAGACTGTCACGCACACCTGGTTTTGATAAGACCATGCTGAACCATGTCCAGCTGGAGGAATTCCTTAAATGTAAAGATAGTCTTCTGTGACTTTTACTGTACAACAGAGAATACAATGTCTAATACACCATTTAGTTTAATGGATTTTATAATTTCCAAACTAAAACCAATAACTAAGGTTATGACACCTTATCATCATATGGCATCATATGACCGATATGAAATCAATTTACCTATCTCGAGGCACATCCAATGCTGTGTTGTAATCCGGTGGTCCTCCAGGCAACATGTTGAAAAGCAGATGGTTCATGCCTTTGTCCCACCTTTGAAGAAAAACCATTCAGAATGAAAGTGAACGACAGCTTTTAAGTGTAACATTTCAAGAAGAGGGAACTGGTTGCCCCCTTAGAGCTTGGGTCGGGAGCTCAGCCACATGAGAGGAGCTTGGAGTAGAGCCGCTGCTCCTCAACGTCAAAAAGATGCCTCTCTGTTCCGAGGCCCAGTGGAATATACGGGACACGCTGGAGAAACTGTCTCTCAGGTGGCCTGGTTAACTCCACCGGATTCCCCCAGATGAGCTGAGGGAAGTCAGTGTGAAGAGGGAGGTCTGGGCATCTCTGCTCAGACTTGTGGCTCCGCGAACCCAGCAACGTTTAAGATCTGTTTTAAAGGTGATGCCAGAAAGAAAAACCTTCTATATTCCAGGGGTGGACTGGCCATTGGGCTTACCAGGCAATGCCCGAAGGGCCGATGCCCCTATTTGGGCCGCCTGTGAGCCTCATACAAAAAGATATTTTTGTGTTAATGTGCACTTTTTTTATTGTCGCCGTAGGGAAATTTGTCCTCTGCATTTGACCCATCCTGATGCCACTAAGGCTTACGTCAGGAGCAGTGGTCGCCAAAGTACAGCGCCCGGGAACCCATCTCCAGATGTTAATGCCCGGCTTGGTCAGGACTACCGGAGCTGGAGGATTTTACATGTTTTTAGTGGTAGGGGAAACCGGAGCACCCGGAGGAAACCTACGCAGACACGGGGAGAACAAGCAAACTCCACTCAGAAAGGCCCTGCTCCAACCGGGATTCAAACCGAGGACCTTCTTGCTGAGAGGCGAGAGTGCTATCCACTCAGCCACCATGCCGCCCGGTGTTTAATCTGTGTAAATCTGTTAAGAAATGTCCGAGGGGGGCGCCCATGACCGCGGGGCACTTGCTGTTGATTGCAGTATGAACCTCCCCAGCCTTTTGGAGCAGCTGCGGACGCTTTGACAACAACACGGCAGCGCGCAGTCGTAACGTGGCCATGTACCCAAGACCATATACACCCAGAGGACCATACTGTGCTTGTTGTGTGCGTGTCTTTGCGTAACCAGTTCACGCAATAAATACAGCGCTGCAAGAAACAGTCCGCGTCTTCCTTGTGTCTCTTCCCAAAGCACAACTAAACTTGCTAAATGGTTGTGTCCAAAAGTAAAATGTTGTGAACAAATCAACCATAATAATAACAGCTATTGGCCAACATTTCAAACTTCTTTGAAATGTCCCATTCTCATCCCTGTTATGGTATGGTGGTTGTTATAGTGATATGGTGCTATGTCCGTCTCCCTCACTCTGTAGTGACATGTTTATTAATCTCAATGTGGACCATTGCACTTTATAATAATTGTTGAAACTGCATATATTCTGAGCCTCTACAGTATGTAAGTTAGTAAGTAAGTAAGTTATTATTTATATACCGCCTTTTTCACTGCAGATCTGAGTCTCAAAGCGGTTTACAATTGTTAATTTTGGGCATTTGTCTCTCACTCCACACAGAGATGGGAGCGGGGCCAGTACAGGAGGCACATGCCAGAACTATTGGACATATTTTTAGTGGTAGGGGAAACCGGAGTACCCGGAGGAAACCTACGCAGACACGGGGAGAACATGCAAACTCCACTCAGAAAGGCCCTGGTCCGGCCGGGATTCGAACCCAGGACCTTCTTGCTGAGAGGCGAGAGTGCTATCCACTCAGCCACCGTGCCGCCAGTATGTGCTTACGAATACTGTAAAAATAACCGTGAAAATACATGGTTCAGTAAATACAAACAATATAATCATTACCTGGGAAGCATCGCCAGAGCCTGTGCCGTCTCTCTGACTCGTAATGAATTCTGATTGAGAACGTCAATAGAAGGAATGAACAGACACGCTCTGCTGACGTCATCAGTGTAAAAGTCACTATCCGAGATGGCACTCAAAAGATCATTGTATTCTCGAGACAGCCCTGTGCTGCTGATGGGGACCCCAACTTCATCTACAAACCTCTGGAGAGGGTAGATGTAAACCTACAATAGAGACATGTTTTCAATGAGGAGAGGACATTTAAATAAAGACAACGTTTTGTATTGGTAAAGTTTTTTTTGAACTATTCATACAAGCCAAAATATGAATTCATAATATAAATTTGCGACCTCCACTGCAGAATACAAGGCAATACAACTCAATGAAAAGCACTTTTGAGACTCATTGGGTTTTGTGCTTTAAACCCTTAGCAAATGTGTTGCATTGTGTCAACATTTTATATATTCATTTTCAAATTTTCTTTGTTTCTTTGTTTGGGACAGTGCGTATTCATGAAAATACATCAAGATTGTATTCTTGGCCTATTTGTAGTCCTACAGTTTTAATTTTACAAGAGTTTCTGGTTAGGAATAATCAAAATCTATTCTTTAAGAAGTATTTTGTTTATTTTGTTCCCCGACTACCGTGGCTGTCAAGGACAGTGTAAATATTATAAGACTTTATAAAGACAAAAAACTAGTTTATTCTCTGAAAAACCTTGATGTTGACACAAAGGTGTATCAGTTACGTTTACTAATAGTCATTTCCATGTTTGTTCCCCAGTTAATCATAATTATTTGATCAGTGCCGAGTAAGTACCTTGATTCGGTTTTTTGGATTGTAGCCACATCTGTACACATCAAAGCAGGTGTGCATGCGACAGCTGAGGTCCCCTCTCTCCGGGATGGGGCTGGACACCGACAGCCTGACCAGCGGAGCATCATGGACACTGCGTTTGTCCATAGTCCAGTCTGCAGAGGATTCAATGGAATGGGGCCAGAACTGAAACATCCCTGTTGCTATGAGGCCGAGCAGCACCACGGAGAAAAGGGTGATATAATAGATGCGATGCTTGATCTTCATCCTCGGGATCAGAGCTGGCCCCCGAGAACTGTATTTACTGGAAGCGTACATGGCTCAGGCTTTCTCACAGTTACTGCAAATACAAACAATATGAAGACAGGAAAAAAAAAGACATTGCTGCAGATTATAAAACGAAATCAACATCACATTTAGGCAACATCCTCAAGCAAAATGAATTAATCTTGGGACTGGTGAATTGGACCACATTATAAAGAAAAAGTCCTTATTCGGGCAAGTTTAAAATCATGAATGACTACATTAGTAGTGTTGTCATTATACACAATTTAAAACTTAATGGCATTGCTAAATAAATAATCAATACTCTAGATCAATTTTAATACCAGGTGGGGTTTTTATTTTTATTTTTTACAAATACTAATTTGATATTCTAAACTGTTTTGATCATTTTATTTCTAGGGAAGTTCTATACACGTTCTTCTAATATAGTTTGAAATGTTGCAACAAATACCCAGAAATGGTAAATTTTTATCCTGTTTATGCAATTTTATTTGTATCTACTTTCTCAAGTTAGTATCAAGTTTCTTGAGTTTCAATTCAAATATTCATATCTAATTTTCTATACTTTAGAAGTTCCCGACCTTTTGAAGATTAGCTTTTCAAGGTGGAAAAAATAAGTTGTATCGGAATATTACTTCTGAAGATTTCTTGCAGCCAAGGCTCGCAGCTCTGCAAACTTAACATATTAATAAGGTAGATAATACATCCAAGTCAAAAAGAACCACACACAATTAACCATTATTGGCGAAATTTAAAACATCTTAGATTTTGTAAGTATGTACATGAATACAACAAAGTTATTAAGCATTACATGTATCATACGTAATTATTATATCTATATTATACATGATCAATGCTTGTGATTCTTATTCATGCTCGTTCATCAGTCTTCTCTCGGACCTTGATAATCCTGGCTTGTTTACATTGTCCACTTTTATTCGCAATAACGCTAGCTGTCATGTATACAATTTAACTTTTGGATATACGCCAACTATAAATGAAGTATAGATGGACTGACATGTTTACAGCAGACACATTAGTTACATCTTCGAGGCATCAGCTGAGAAACAGCTGTGCTAACGCAGCTAACGCTCTATGGACACACGGAAACACAATGTCTCAGCAGATTATTTCCAGACAACACGTTTAACTTACCGTATCTTTGGACATAAGTGTAAATAACAGCCTTAATATTCAATACATGCCAAAAACAAAGGAGGCATCTACATTCCTCTGAAGTTAGCCCCTGCTTAGCATTAGCATCTGAACAGGAAGCTGCGTTTGCGGATTATCTCCCCCTATCGGAGCATGATAGAATTACAGGACAACGATGACGCGTTTAATTTTGTTTTTATTACAGGCAGGGGAAGGGGCAGGGATAAAATACATTCTTTTGTGGAGCAGGAGGGGAAGGGGAAGCAAATCAGGTAAACATGGACAAGACACAGTTGAATTATTTCCCCTTCCAAATAGAAATCAATTAAATATTTGACAATAGTTTGAATAAATACCTTTTCAGATTTATCTATAGATCATTATTGTCGTCTTTTGTTTACATCGTTTTTTTCAATATATATTTTTTGGAAATATTTTTCAAGACATCTTCAGAAAGAATTACATACAGAGGATGGTGCTGTACAGATGGTGAAAATATTTTCTTCTTTCCAAAGTACTTTATATACTACTTTATGCAAGTAAGCTCCTTAGATATGTAACTGCTCCTTAGTAAATGGGGTGACTACTGAAACAGGCTGCCAAATTGGAGTAATTCCAGGCTGTAAACATGGGACATTAGCTGAGAAACCACAGAAAATTTAATTAACACATTGTTGATCATTCATGGCAAAAGTATTGCACCATGAGTCTATGAATAGATGTCTGAATTTTGTTTGTAAAAAGAGAATGAGGATATTGACACCATGTGGTCAGTGAGATAATAAACCATTGACATTAAACCAATCTGTTGAAAGAGTAAAAAATCCACCAAATATAGCAATAAAAGTGATGATAATAAAAACAGTAATAAATAAATAATTCAGATGTACAGATGTGTACTAGATTGTGTGTGACATGCTAAAAACTGGCATGCCAATAATGATTTCTTCTGTAGTCCTTCCTGAATGTTGGGCATAAACCAGATTAAAGGGAAGCAAATGCTTTATTTTCCAGAGCACCTTATAAACAAGTAAACGATCTCAGATGATGATCATTGAGCCAAAAGCTTATTTCATTGCATGATTATTGTGGCCTAAAGACACGAGCCGTGCTACTGAAATGCATAACTCATGCAGAAGCAGCCCCTGGAATATTGTATATAGCTACCTAGATTTAAATATTAGGCCATTTTGTTTATTTTTTGGCCAAGCAGCAAAGACCCCAGATTGAGGAGTTGTGTGTTGGCGCAGTGTACAAGGAAACACACAGAATGATCATGGGGTGTGAAATATGAAGTAACATAATTGTAACATAATATGTGCAGCAGCACTTAAATAAAGCAATATTTATATACATGTACAAAATTACATCTTATAAATACATTTGGCAATACATGTTATTTGTTGCAAAATAAAAAGGACTAGTGAGATGAAATGTGCAAGAGTATTCAAATTCATTCTAAATGTTTTAGAGACAATTCATCTGGAAATAAAAAAGAATAAACTATCATGCACTATTAAGAGTAACCAAAATACTAAATGAACATCCATTGGTGTCGATAATAACTGGTCACAATCACTACATTTTAAGACACATTAATTCTCAACAATAAAACACATGTATTCTTGTTTGTCAAATTCAAGACCTGAGGATCCTTTTGCAATGTCTTCGTAGAGACAAATCTTTTCTTCATCACATTCCTGATATTGACAATAACATAAAATAAATACTGTAGCTGTTGAGGGTAGAGGAAGCTAATGTGCCGATGAGAACTAAGGCATTCTTTATCTATTTAGTCCGCTGTAAACTGGGGCAGAGTCACATATCAATGTTTAAATTATTAGACATTTTTCCCCCGACAGTTAAGAACTGCTTTTTCTAATGATTATACTTCCCTGTGTAAAATAATTATTTTTTCCCTTTCATGAATTAGAAACATATATTTGATGCTGTTTCTTTGTTGGTGGCATCACATTCTTCTGGAATGGAAAAAGCTACAGTTATCGATATTCACCCAAAAGCAGCACAGCCCCCTGGCATGCAGAGAGAGGTATGATTTTCCAATCATTCCAATTGCGAATAAATGCTTTCAATCTGTCCTCTGATGTGCCAGTGATTCAGATCCATGTATAGTTTGTGAGCGTTTGTGAGTAATCAAGTTCTGGCATTAGTCAAGTTCTGGCATTTCTGATGGGTGACTGCATTCCAAAGCATGCATATGCAGTGAACATATGAATGTTATCAAAAGTTTCCAATGACAGAATCACTGTTACAAGTATTATGTATGCCACTACACCATAGAGGACAGTGTGTTGTCCTCCGGACAGTGGCAGGGTGAGGATATTCGAAGAGGGTGTATGGCTGTTGGAGCACCCTCTGCTGGAGATAGGTCGTTGAGCTCCTCTGAAGATGATAGTGGGAATGAGGGAGATAAAGAGATGCCAGATGATGGGTCTGCAGATCCAGCAAAAGTGCGAGGTGGTTTCGGGACCAAGTTTGGTTCTAGTGTGGCTCGGGCCAAAAGCTGTTTGTCTTCCAATGACTGTCGGTCTCCCAAGCATTCTCCCTGGCCATATGAGCCCCTGCCTGACTCAGACTCTCCATCAGAAAGGTCTAAAGGAGGTGAACTGCTGCCATCCAGCCTGAACAAAGAGTCCAAGTACTGGGCAAACTCCAGCACAGCCTGACTTGTGTTTCCATTAGACAGCTGAGATGACGGTGTAGAAGCAGTCTTAGCGGTTTCTCCCATGTTCCATCCTCCCTTTTCTCCATCCACATCTCTCGAATTAACTTGAGGACTCATGGAAGGAGGAGTACTCCCAGGACTGTAGACACCAGGGATCTCTTGGTACTCTCCGTCAGGAAGCATGTTAGAGTTGGACTTCGACTCTGCTTTGAAAGGTGGAGGTTGGACACCATGGGTGCGCAAAGTGGGTGAGTGGTGCCCGCTGTAGTGTGGGGTGGCAGGAGATAATCGCATAGGGTAATCTGGAGTCAATGAAGATTCACAATTGGGTGTAAAGAAGGGCCCGACCTCACCAAGATGCTCTGGTGTAGCCTGGCAGAGAGAGTCAGCAGCGAGTAGTTCAGTTCTAGAGCTCAGGGATGGGTTTTCCTCTGGTATAGGGGCATCTAAAGGAAACGGCAGGCTGCCCAACATGGGTGACCCCCTGAAAGCAGCCGAGGAGCGTCGCGAATCCAGGCTGTATAGTGACTCTGCATCAGACAGACTCTCCATGACTGCCAGAGGAGCTTTTCGATCCCTCAGCTCAACTGTGAGCCGCTCCCGAGCTCCACGTAAGACGACAGGCACCGGTGGAGGAGGGCATTCAGAGAACCCATCCAGGGATATTTCTGACTGGGCAACAGAACTAGACAAAAGGGAAAGAAAAGGAAAGCAACAGTGACAAGGAAAATAGGTAAATGGGTTTCAAGACACAATTCAAACAATAGGTTAAGAAAACTTACAAGGTTTAAAGAGGAGAAAATAATGGGCAGTGTTAGTACATAAAACAAGTTATCTTAAACTAAGGAACCACCACAAGTCAACACAGACTACAACCCAAGGGTGTCATCTACTGCTTTGACAGAAACAGGTCTAATCTACTCCACCCATGACTTTGAGGAGTTACACTGACTTTGGATAAGGGCTAAACCAGTGAAGAGGGAACTCAATAGTACCATATGTAGTAACCATTCTGTGGCCAGACAGCGTGCAGGCGTGCATGAGAGGAATAAATTATGCAAAATTAGTAATGACATGCTTTGCTTACCGTAACAAGGTTTTTTGTCTTTTTTTGTAACCATAAGGAACAGACATGACAATGATTTTGAAAAAAACAATAAAAGTTATAATTAGTGGCAATTGCAGTTGAGCAGTAAGAGCAAAGTTGATGACTGAATCCTACTGCTGTGGCAGGTCAGTAGTTTGAAGAATGAAAAAGCATGAATAATATCAAAGCAAGTGGCCAGTGTCGGTCGTACTAACCGAACGCTGCTGTTCCTGCGGTGCTGAGGGGCTGGGGTCGGCTGCTCGGAGGTGGCCGTTGCATCCATGAAGATGGTCTCAGGGTTCAGATCCACTTCCGTGGGGCTCACCATGATTTTAGCAGCAGACAACAGAGCAGTTTTTCCTTTATTGTAATTTTCCAGGACCTGTTTAGAAAACAAATTGTACGGCAACACAAAGAGTAAATGAAGAATGTATATTGTTATTACATACTGTATGTGTATGCAATATAATTTAAGACAATATGAGAAACGAACAGCATTGACAAACTGATATAAACAAATAATAGAAACATTTTATTTATTATTAAAATAACTAGCAGATTTATGACATGCAACAACAGAAACACACTATAATGACAAATAAACAATGTAATGATATGTAAACAAAAGGTTTAGTATGTTAAAAATGTAAAATAGACATGTTTATGAGGTGAGGTTACAGTATATGTTTCTAGTAGTAAACTGGAATAGTGGCATCCTCACAACAATCACATCATGAAAACACAAAACAAAGACATGCATAGGAATGAACAGCTTGCCCTTTTAGAGGCAGACTGTAGAGCACTTTGGAGTGTGATCTAATAATATCAATGCAAAGAGACCCGTTTTAAAGAAATATGCTAATTATACTAAAGAACAACTGATAGACAGTGAATGATAATATTGTGGTTTAACAGAACAGCCTGAAGGAAAGGGACGTTCAGTGGAACTTTTGGAAGAAACTGGGTTACTATGGAAACATGGTGAACACAAAGAAAATGTGTGAGCACAAAGCGTGGGGTTGGTACGTCCACATTCTGAAAACCCAAAGCTGTAACAATGAAGACTGTTTAAAGAAAACCCAGGGCCAAATGTAATGGTAAAAAGGAGTCTTTGGCACCTCATGCACAGGTATTTCATTAAATACAGTAACTTTTGTTACTTGTTAACACTTGTAAAAGTCATATAGACACCTCATGGGACTGTCCCCTTTTCACTCTACAGAATTTCTTGTGTTTTTGGCAAGAAAGTATTGTGAATATTTTTTTCTAGTGAAGCATTAGGATCTATTACAACCCTAATATGGTTATGAAAGCCTTGGAGATGGGGCGATTTCATTACAGGGTTCATTGATTGCTTCAACAGATACAGTTTCAGACAGAGGAACTGCAGACAAACCACTGGGTAGAGCAGAGTTATTCTGAGGCTGAAGGCATGTGGTGTTCTCCTCAGAACACAATACGTCTTGGATGAGCTCTGTGTCAGGGCTGTTTGACAGCTGTAGTGAAGATTTTAGGTCAGAATATGATGTAGTTTCAATATTTAGAGACTTAAGGTCACTGTCTTTGAGAGAATTGCAGCACTCGTTTGTACTGGTGGGAGAAAGTGCCTCACTGGACTGAGAGTTTATCTCAGTTTGAGTCAGTACAAGCACAGCGGTACTGTACGTGGGCTCTGCTTCCTCTGCCTCCAGGCTATCCTGCTCTGACAGGGGAATAAAGGGTTCCAGCACCTGCAGAAACACCATATCAATCACATAACAGTCCTTTATTATAATTAACAATCAAACTTGAAGACTGATTGGGCAGTTCTTACTCCCAAGCCAGATGAAAGTGCTGTCCCGTAAGAAGCTCCATAACATGCAAACATACATATTAGAAGATTTGAACCATGTAAAACCATGTGAATCACCAAAAATTTCAATATCCATGCTTTTGCCAGCAGTTCCAGTACAATAGGCGTGGTTAGGTTTGAGGTTATTTCTGAATCCCGTGCAAACAAAACAGTTAAAAGATTTGTTTAAACAAAAACCCACAAAGATGCAGGTCCAAGGTTTGTCCAGGGACACAATAGGGCTATTTTATTGCCACTGTTATGAAAGTGTAACATCACCATGAACATTTAAAACGCAAATGACAAACAGTAACACATACACACACACACACACACAATGTGGTTAGAAATAATGGAAAGGATTTTAAAACCAATACACCCAAAAGATGTGCAAACCAAGAGAAATACTCAGATAAACCAACCTTATTGAGTCCCTCCATCACCATGTGGGGCATATGTTCATTCAGCATAGCAGGTGATATGATGACCTCATTGAAGGCCTTGTTGTCCCCCCACAGAGCAGAGTATGTGGGTTCTTCTTGGCCGCAGCTTCAAGAATAAAAAGAGAAACCAAATGTCAATGACTCCTTCAGTAATGTACATTATATAAAAAAAGGAAGACAAAAAACATGCAAAACACGATTAAGATCATTAAGCCTGATGCTCTCAGTCTGGAACCATCTTTATCCAATGTTTGTTTTACTCTTACTTAAATATCACCATGCAAAACCTAAAAAGGTTATACAAGGGGCAACTCGTATAATAAATGTCTTTTGACAATTATATATGATGTTAATTATATTAATATATTATCTCTGTGCCAGTCAGGTTTCAGACATAACTAATGCTGTTCTACCCCAACAGCATTACTGAATCTAACAAATGAAATATTGACAGCTTTTGACAAGCAGGAACTTACTGGAGCAATTTTTATAGACATCACTTGACAAAGTTGACCACTATTTTCTGCGAGACAACCTCTACTCAATTGCTGCCTCTAGAAAGGTGATGCTTTGGTTTAATTAATATCTACATTGTCAGAAATAATTTGTTACCTTACAGGGCATATCCTCAGAAGCAGCCATAGTAAATAGGGGTGTTCCCCAGTTTACATTAATGACCTATCTAACATCATTACAAAGTGAAATCCTCATTTGTATGTGGATGAAACTGTAATTTATTCAAGATTCTCTTCAACCGATCTTAACCTGGTACAACTCTGGCTAGCTCAGCAAAACTTAAAAATTAACAGTAAAAACATGCAGTATGCTCTTTGGCAAACGCGTGTGCGCAAATCAACAGAAAACATATTTTTATTTATTAGATAGTAATAAACTGGAATCAAAAAGAAAAAGAAGCGTATGCATGTCTTGGACAACTGTTCAGATCACTAAACTGCTTCACCCAGCATATTAGGGATGCTAATTATTGACTATGGGATGTAATTTACCAAAAAACAACACTCTGTTTCATCATTGTTTAATGTATGACTCACTCAATTGGTTCAAACCAAATGAAAGGATCCACTGGCTAATGTTAATCTTTAAGTGTATTTATTGTGACTTTCCTGATTATTTAAAACAGCCTCAGATCCCAGAGAGAATGCAGTGATGTACACTGCATTCTCTCCTAAATCAATCTCAGCCCTACTTTAGAGTTTGAAGAAGGAGGTCAGCAAAAGGGTGTTCTGCTTTATAGCGCCATCTGACTGGAATATTTTATCTCTCAATGGGGCTATCCTTGAATAATTAAAAGATATATAGCTGGGGTACCTTAGCCTTTACTTTCATGTTCTAACTTTAGAAACTACATGGTAAATGCTGGACCTAGAGACAAAAGTTTGACAGAAGAGACAGATAGAAAACTTTTTAATCTAAAACAAAACATTTGCATACTTTTGAGGTTTTGGGCTGAGAGCTGATTGGCTGAAACAGGGGTAATCCACACTGCCTCACTTTGGTTTTCGGTCACAGCTGTGACTGGCAGAACATTATTGGTTTCCCGGCTGATCAAACATAGGAACTGAACCAATATCCAAACTGAACCCAAGGATGATTGATTGCTCTTGTGGAATCTGGAATAAATATTTATTTTTTCTCACCATGTCTCTGGGGGATGGTTGTGCACAACGTGGATGACCCTGCCGGGAGGGTAGAGGGGTGTGGAAGCGGACAGGGCGATGCTGAGGTCACTGGGGTGGAGCCACAGGCGACTGCTAGGGGGCGCTGCGGGCTGGGACTGGGGATCTTCATCCTCCAGAGGAAGCTCTGATTTAGGGATGCATTTAGTGCCGCCAGCAATAATCCTCCACTGAAGATGCAGCATATAATGGTACAAATATTTTCATTGACTGAAGCATAAATAATGATAATACAAAAGAGAATTGGATGACTGAATGACTGTGGTCACCTTTGGCTTGTTACTCTTCTGCAACACTTCCAGGAGATGGCGTCTAAAACCCTCCAGCTGTGAGAGTCCAAGCCTACAGAACAGGCATATTATATAATATACCAAATCAAAATTCAATAAGATAATAGTAGTTATAATAATACCTTGGAACCAAATCTTTTCCCAACACCACAGAAGTGACAAATTGTTTGGAGTACTCCATGGCATCCTCACTGGAAAAATAAATCACACGTTTTAGCTTTTTTTGGGGTTTGTTAGTACACTTCAAACACTATAATAGAAACAGGTCTCATCTCAAGTCTCCTCTTTGCATAGTGACTGCTGTCAGCAGCAGGTTTGTTTTAATTATTTATTTCAAATGCTGAACAATGTCCAGATATGATCTTTTTGAACCCTACATGTACAGTATGTCCGAGGCGATATAATTCATATGAATAATAACAATAAGAACAGGTGGATGATACAGTCAGACTGTACTGAAAAGGTTTTACATTATATATCATATACGTTTTGAATTTGCATAAAGTGAACATTTGAAAAAAAAAGTGTTATTATCTAACCTCAGAAGACCACCGGGTGGGGAATAGGAGTAACACTGGAGAGTTGGATACTGAGGTCTAAGCAAAAATGAGAGGATGGCTGCGGTCCCTGCGCCAAGAGAGTGTCCAACAATCACCAGCCCGTAGTGCATGGTGCCTTTGCTCTGTGGCATAAAATTGCACAATATTGTAAACAGAGAGGAAATGCTAAATTGTTTATATTTAACACAGTAAGACAAAAAAAGATTACCCAGCCTGGCAATCTAAAAACTGCCTACTGAGTCACGTACCAGGTCCCTTCCAAAAGCTTGTGACAGGATCATTTCCTGTTCCAGTTTCTTCTTAATGTACTCAGCTGAATAAACCATTCCCTGAGAAAAGTGAAGAGGAAGACGAGAGATTAATAGATAGACAGGAAGTCATTCATCTTTGGTGAAATTATACAGAGCTTGATTCTGTCATTCAAATGAACACCCTTCATTGAGATTAAACATGTCCTTTTCAAGAGTGACCCGGCCAAATGGAACTTCACTAGAGCAGCTTAAAACTTAAAATGAATTCAAATGTACACGTGACATTTCATGAACAAGTGTATATCATAATGCTGCCCATCTTTTAGATTCAGGATATCATTTTGTATAATGTGTAGACTTTTATAGCGAGTACTGCATGTATAATTAAAGGCCAAGCAATAACATATTTGCTATTACACCCTTTCTACAAATGTTCTTATTGGTATTGAAATAAAAATGTGAACCAACAGTCCACTGCCCAAGTTCTGGGTAATTATACTTTTAGTGTGATGCAAAAGTCTCCAACCTTGTGGCCGAGCCAAATCCCATGTTGTTCCTCCACCGGAAGCCGCTCAGAGTCTCCAGTCAGATCAGTCAAAGCATCCTGATCACAGGGAACAGAGTAAATGTGCATGTCGGTTCCCTCAAAACATCCCCCTAAGAATAGTTATCTAGTCAGATGTTTTATTTACTGGAGATTTTCACCATTTGGTTTTCTTCACACTTTTAGGCAAATGGGTTGAAATGGCATGACAAAACGCAGAGCATAAGAACTTAAATAGAAAGCAAAACAATGAGATCCCAGTAGACTGATGAGGAAGTGGTGAGTTGCACATCCTCTTGTAAATTAAGGAAACATACCTTAGGTGAAAGGGTTCCTCTTATACTGATGACGACTTTCTGTTTTCCATGATCGACTGCCACAAAGAACGGAGTCTCATAAACCTGTGAACAGTGAAAGGAAAATTACACACACACAAAAAGTTAATTTATTGAGCCAACTTCTGAATGCAAATATAACATTGTGTCAATCTGGCATTTACTCTGAAAATCCTGTGTACACCATGTCTGTGTAAGTCAAGACAACACATGCAGTGTACTACAACACAGGTGGATACCACAGACATTGACAAGTTAGATGTAATACCTTGTTAACATGTTTCGGCTGCATGTTGCCAAGGTAATACATCTAACTTCATAACCACAACAAATATTTTAACTCAAGGTATCAAAATAGATAATTAAAATAGTTTAGACGGTTAATTTTCCTTCCTGTCATTACTGCATTTTCAATTACCATGCTTTCTCACCAAGAATTACCAGATATATCATTTGGCAGTCCATGTACTAGTAGATATAAATTATATTCAGCTTTAATTATTACTATGCTATAAATCATTTGGAAAAACAGTAACAGTAGGTAGTGAAATTCAATCATCCCAAAAGAAATGACAAAGTAGATCTGTGTGTTGTGTTGTGGGTTGGAGCATCACAGTTTGAGAAACACTTTTCAAGCTTAACTAACCTGTTAACAATGACTCACCTTCACACCAACTAATTGCCAACTATTTTCCTGAGAAAGTTTTCCCTCATTAAATGACCAACACTCACAGCATCATGGCAGGATGTGTAGACAATCTGGACCTGCTTGAGATCCCTGTCCAGGAAGTGCCTACGAATGGCCAGCACGTTACAGCCACAACAATTATCCTCTTCCACAGTGACAGACTGAGACAAGCGAGAGCCAGAAACAGATGTGCAGCTGCCAAACAAAGGGGAAAAATACACTTGATTAACTAAATGTGATATGAAGATTAAACAGTCAAAACAAAGTCTGTCTGGAGTGATTAGCCCACGTTACTGTTCTATAATATCTATTTTCTTTCTCAGTCAAATCAGACAAATAAATAACGTCATAGTAAAGCTGGGGTGCCTAACTATCAAACCTCAAAAAAATTAAACAATGAGATATAAAAATGTATGTAAAAATGTAATTAGCATTCATCATTTTGTTTGGATTTCAATTGGGGAAAATATTTACATTTGAAGAGAAATATTACATACTATTTCGCAAAGTACCTACTACCTGAAGTCTAATAAACAGGGAACTACAAGATGTGCTGATAGATAACATCTCTCGGGAGGGATTTCTACTTGGCAAGTGGAAGTGCAAGTGAAATCTTATCTTTATTGGAGCTGCTACATAGACAGATCGAAGAGAGGAAGCTAAATAAAGTGTGTGGGGTGTATGATGACGCTTACGGGCAAGAGCTGACCAGGCGGCACAACCCACAAGCTGGCTTCCTCATCAGGTACATGGGCCAACCATATGCAGCAAGTGCAAACAGCATGTAATAGCACACCTCTTTGTAACTGTTCATTTCACCCTAAAATAAGTAAACAAAAACACCATCAGCTCCACCAGGAAGCATTCACTGAAGTAGGAGTCTGAACCAAAACCAATGAAGGAGACATATTGTGCTCATGTTTATATACTGTAATGATGACAATAGGTTCATGTGACACCACGACATTCCAAAGAGCTTATAGCTTAAAACTGTGGTGGAAGGAAACTAAAAAAACAAAACAAAAAACAAAGAAACTGTAGTAAATGCAAAAAGTCTTTGTTTGGAAAAATAGTTTTGGTTATTTCTGAGCCAATCCACATACAAAAAAAAAATACGCACAAAATTCCAGTTTTTTAATGTCCGGTGCCAATCTCGATATTTTGGCTTTTAATATCTGCCTATACCAATATGAAGCGATACAACATAAGGACACACAAAAACTTAGATCACTGTTAAATTCTACAAAATGCATACAAATTTTGCAGGTTTTTTTTGTTTTTAAAGTAGAGCTGGAGGTTAGGGATTACAAATACAGGGACTTCTTTGTGTTTTCTTCTGGATGTATCAAGTAGAAAGGATTTTCAGATATAGGAATAATATGGCAAGTTTGTGAATACAATCACTATCAAATAATAAGGGAAACATTTAATAATAGATTGTATAATATTATAGAAGACAGAACATGAACATATTGTTGTAAGCAGGGATGCATCTGATATGAACTGATAAGTGAAGTTACTGAAAATAAATACATCAAAGAAAACTTCTTACAAAATGGATCCAATAGTGTTCACACAACTTTGTCTGGGTTTAAATGAATATCAGGGTCAATATCAGCCACTAAAAAGCCGTATTGCATCAACTAAGAGGATATTGGCTTAAACAATATGACAAAGAAACCAGCAAAAACAACATTTTGTCTCTGAAGATGGAACACAAACTTACAGAATTCTTAAGGTCAAGGTATCGAGTGTTACGAGTCACAGGCATCCCAGATAGAAAGGCTATAATGTCATTGTTGGCCTGCAAAAAGCAAATGCATTCAGTTTTTAAAGGGATTCAAACTTCAACATTTGTAACGACAGTAGCATACCTGGTCCAAGATTGCAGACCTCTTCGATCTTTGTCTCTGGCGGAGCAAAACCAGGCCGGCAATAATATCACTAGGCACAATGTCTAGATCTCTGAAAAATTCTGCAAAAAGGCTAGCCACTTCTGAATAAGCATCCTGGTGGGAAGAAAATCACATATAATTTGTACCAGAAGAATTATATCCACATTTACTGAAAGTGAATTGTGTAATTTTCAAATCAAAAATCTTTCGTCTGAACATTACGTTCTCATCAAATCGTACAGAAAAGTAACTCAATTTGAAAACGAGCTGTGTTAAGTTTCAGAACAGAATGTTAGATTAGAAAAATACAATGATTTTTTTGCTCATTCAACAGTAATTGCAAATGAGAAGCAGAACTATGTCTTAGAATACTCACTGATTGTGTGTCCTGGGCTCTTGTACAGCACATGAAAAATTTTAATCTCCGGCTCCAGCTGCTGGCTTGGCCTTCTTCAAGTCTGTGTCTGAAAAAGTAGTGGAGATTAATGGAAGATACTACACAAATTCTGAAGTACCACAGGGGATTAATCGTGTGTTCCTGACTTGTAAAATAGTAGGTACCTGAGTGTATATGTTGTGAGGTTGCGTTGCCGTCGCCGGGTTGCTTTGAGCTTAACAAATGTCCGCCCCGTGGGATCAAAGGTGCACATAAGAGTGATGCAGACACTGAGAATAACAAGCCAATTACATGCAACAATACCTGTAGAGAAATATGAGAGGACAAATAATCAACTATGAACTAATTGGCAACATTTTTTACAAAAACTTGTTTATTTTTTTTCTAACCTAGAGCCAGATTTTTGGCTGTGACATCAGAACATGGCTGGTAATACTGAACAAGCCAAACAATTCCAACTACAGCATAGACAAGCTCCACCAAAAGAATGGCTTGGGAAGGAGAAGAAAAAGTTGACAAATGAATGCGACTTTAGTAATGTTTTGTAATACATAACAAAGACTGTGCTAGGTTCCCTACCAAGTCGTATATAGAGGACATACTGCACAGCTTCCCTGGGCTGGGTGTACAGTATGCTCCCTCTCATACTCAGCCACATGATGGCGCTCTCACAGATCAAGCAGCTGACCAGGATGCCCAGGTATCCACGGCCATGGTCCACCAGTGTCACAGAGCAGGACTGTTCTGAGCCATACGGCAAGCCGAACAGAACCACAGACAGAACCACCAGCCTACAGACAAAACCACAAAGAAGGCATCATAAGAGATTAGAAATAATAATGGTGCTAAATTAATAACAGGATACTCACCAGATGCAGTGTAAAAGAAACAGGAAGAGGGCGGGTAGCACCAGGTCATCACTGCCGACTGACCAGCGCCGCCGGAACATCACCATGCCAGGCATCACTGCCCTGTGAAAGCCAAGAGACAGGTTAATACATCATTTTAACAACAAAGACGTATACATTAAAAGGTGCATTCCTCAGCCCACTTTATGCTGGGTTTGTCTAGAATAATTAATGTTGTTGTTTTGCCTGGATATTAAGAGCAGTAGTAGTGTACCTAGTAGTGCAGAGTGACTGAATAAGGCAGTTTCCCTGAGAAAAAATGCTAGTTTGACATTAAACTTTCCTTTTTCATTTAAAACAAGCATGTGACTTCATCTGGCTAAATTACGATAAAGAAAAAAAGTATTCTCATTGTTAAATACCACTCCCAACATTGCAGTGCAAAACAATAACGTTTCTATTGCAAGAAACAGGTTTCAGACCAAAAATCAGGGCACCACCAGGACACAGCCACAGTCAACTGTCTCAATCATGTGCACATGCACCTAAACTGACTAAACTGGGAGAACATCAGAGGAAAATGATTTCAACAGAATTTATAACAAGCAAACAAGCATCCACAGTAATGAGTCGAACAGGTTAAACTGATAAGAAAGGGGAAGGACATCCAGGTATTAACAGAAAGTCAGGAGGACACCTTTCTGAGTTGTTAATACTTTTCATGATGTAATTTTCATAGAGTAGATGTTTGCCCATCTAAATTATGTGTAAAATACCGTATGGTATCAAAAAATATATGAATGCTACCACCATCGGTGCTGTCACTCAGACAGAGTGCAGCAAAGTATGGTACAATGAAACAGAACAGAAGATAAATTATTGTAATAATTTATTTTGGCAGTTTGTTGCAGTCACACTTTTGTTCCACTCACTCAGCTTGTTACCATAGCACATTTAGCTGTTAACAAAGAGGAAGTGTCATTATGGTGGAATAATATACATTACACTCAACCAGACACAGAGATTCAAATGCCAATAGTACTGTATGATCTATATTTCTTAAATTATTGTCATTAATTGTAAGATATGCCAGTAAATGTTGGAAGTTACTTAACTGTACAAATAACCAGTACAAAAATGTATAAAAGAATCCGGCTGTTTACATGACATTTTTGTGTTCTATTACATTCAATTAACCATAAGATTAGCATTTTGCAGAAGAGACATATCTTATATGAGACAAACACAGAGCTGCAGGAAGAGCTGCATCCTTTAACTCTTAAAATATTAACTTGCATTAAGTCATGCATTATTGTTTATAATTCTTGGAAAACTCAGAATCTACTTTTTGATACATTTTCAGTGCCCAGATCTAACAAAAAGTAGATCATTGTGGCTGGAACAGCTGTTGGTGTTACTTTAATCTGTGCTTATAAGTGTAAACAATGACCATCTGTGGGACACCTTGCGTACAGCAACAAAAAGCTACTTTGATTAATTCAAATACAATACAAAATAACCTATAAAAGTGGAAAAGGTAGAAAGGCCTATTTATACAATGTGTGTATGCACATATGTCACGTACAACTGGACTAAGGAATCGGGTATTTAGTTCAACATTTATTGTCGGATACATGATCTGAAGTACACAGGACTGAAAAGATTTGTACGTGTTTGATATGTCTGTATCCATATTGTTGGTCAATGATTTTTTATGAACAGCCTACAATTCCCCATTTCCACAGACGCCTCAAAAACTCCCTGCAAGTGACGGACTGAGTTTGGTGCAACACAACTATTTTATTAAAGAGCAATGTCAATTTATTCGGCCATATTTTAGTAAGTAAGTAAGTAGTAAGTAATCTTTATATACTGCCTTTTCACTGCACATCGGAGTCTCAAAGCGGTTTACAATTGTTATTTTTGGGAGTGGGGGTGCCAGTGCAGGAGGCACATGCTAGACCTATTGAACATATTTTTAGTGGTAGGGGAAACCGGAGCACCCGGAGGAAACCTACGCAGACACGAGGAGAACATGCAAACTCCACTCAGAAAAGCCCTGGTCCAACCGGGATTCGAACCCAGGACCTTCTTGCTGAGAGGCAAGAGTGCTATCCACTCAGCCACCGTGCCGCCCAGAGATTTATAGAGATTATGATTAGTAATGCAAACAAGGAATCTGAATAAGAAAATAAAAACACATGGCAACCAATAACTTTTTGTCTTTGGAAAGAGACTATATAAGCCAATTACAGGACTTGACATTAGAGCCCTGCACGGGCCTATTATCTGGGCCCGAGCCCGGCCCTGGCCCGAAGGGGTGGCGCCCCAGCCCGGCCCAGCCCGATATGGTTTCTGAATTTTCAGGCCCGAAACCCGCATCAAGCCCGACTTTTTTTTTTTTTTTTTTTTAAACCTCCCATAACAATGTTTTAGCGTAGTATATAGTGCCGCGCACTGATATGAACGCAGACTTAGCTAGAGGGCGGAGTTATACATGGTAGTGATGTGTTGCAATGAGTTCTGTGTGTGCGGAGTGGTGCAGAGTGAACGGCCGCATCTGTATGATACACCGCTGTATGATGCCCAGATGCTGCAACACACCCGTAAGTAACGCTATGTGCCGTCAATGACAACACTACACAGAACAAAAAAACACTACAGCGTGATAGAACGCTATATTCAGTGGGTGTATTTGTAAATGTATTCTGCCGCTCTGAAAATGAAGAGCCCGAGCCCGGCCCGTGTCCGAGGTCATTATGCGGTCATCGGCCCGAAGCCCGGCCCTCGGGCTGTCGGGCCGTCGGGGCCCTCGGGCCAAGGGCTCAAGTGCAGGGCTCTACTTGACATTAAGCTTTGTCACCCAATTTTGCCCTTTGGGCAAGTACCATTTATATTTGCCCAATGTCAAAAGGTACTTGCCAAAATATTTCTCAATAAAATGAGTTAGCAAGAGTTTGGCAATAAAGTGGCACTAACTGTGTGGAAAGAAATTCCCTCTCAGCCCAAAAAGTCAAATAATGACTCACAGGGCTCTTAAGTATGCAAAATAAAAAAACAAGGCACCTGTTGTGGTGTGTTCTGTTTGATTTGTTCACAACATTTTACTTTTGTGCACAACCAACATGCATTTTTAATGCAAGGGGTAATTTAGGTACCTAAGCTTTAATTTCGTGAGTTTTGGTTGCGCAGAGGTAGGACACACGGAGGAGACCTGCACTTGTAATAAGCTGGGGATGGTCCTGAACGCGCGGTTCTGTCCGCGCGTCTATGGTTCTGTCTGCGCTCGGTACCACATTGCAGCTGTGCGTTCACTGAGCTGTTGTCAAAGTGGCTGTTTTCTACTAAAAAATTGAGGCGCCTGTCCTTTCGGGCTGATCAACCCGGGCTGGCATGTCAGAAGAATTTACAACTGACCCTCCTTGAGCCCTTCACCTTTTTTCTCAAGGCATTCAATTCAATAAAAAAAATATTTTTTATTGCCCTAAATCACAACAGAAGTTTTCTCAGGGGACTTTACAAAGCTGATCATTCACAAACACAGATCAGAGAATCAAACAGTTCAAATACAGGAAATGCAACATCAGGGGCGGATGACCAATGTAGTTGAAAGTCCTTCAACCCTCCTGCATCACTATGCTCTGTATGAACACACAAGCCAACTGAAGTTTAGACAGCAAAAACACTGATGGGTGGGGATACATTCCTATTCAAAAGAATGTATTTTATTCACCGCCCTGTACTATCATATAAAGTAAGAAAATAATAATAATAATGATAATACATTTTGAATTGTCTCTGCACCGAGCGGTTAATTAGAGGATAGTTAAACTAATGGATTCAATTAACAGAGACATTGCACTGTTTCAAGTTAACCACACAATGTATGTTTACATTACATGTTTATAACATGGGGCCAACCGCCAGTAGATGTAAAGAATGTAACTCAGCGGTGACATATTTCAGTGCCTGGTGTAACAGTCAAGGAGGATCTATCACAGGCAGTCACATGGCAACACGGTTTAGGAAAGAGCATATTACTGCTTTTTTTAAAAGTATATTTCTTAGCTCAATCTCAATCTCTTCATTCTTATTTTGTAGCAATTATAAGTGACCAATCCTCATTTCAAACTTTTCCTGTCTAGTTTTACCAGACCAGGTCTGCTAACTAGCCTCAGGTCAGGTGGCCTTTGGACATAGCATTGATTACTTTGAAATGCATCACGGCTCCTGACAAATGTTCAGCACATTTATCATATTTACTTAGTGCCAGTTTTATTTGTAAACACCTTTTTACCACCATTGTACCAGTACGTAGGCATTTGATTATGTCAGAAACTAAACCATGCCTACATCACTCTAGACATTACACATTATAATAAAAACACTTTAATTATCAGCACAGCAAAACATTGATTGACTTGATTTTTGTAAATGCACCTCAGATACATTACACTGTAATAGATGGGGTCAGTTCTTTCTCAATGCAGTGACACTTTTCCTCTAACCAAAGAAACAGTAGCAGGTGGTTAGAGTCGCTTTCACACCCTCAGTCAAGCAGCACGAACAAAGCCATACACATGAGTTGTGCTTGTGTTTACTTGGACGATGAGCTGGTTTGTTTTACAGCCCTCCAACTGTGGTTTGTTTGACACTCCATGGAAGTAATTTCCATGAACATGACTCAAAAGAAGGGCAAACATGAAATGGGACAAAAAGCCAAAAATAAAAAATAACATTAATGTTATTTTCCTGTTGTTGTTAGTTATACAGCAGTTTATTCATTTACTCTGATGCCGTAGCCATTAGGGCCAAAAGTATCAAAAATACCAATTTTAGCAAGTATTACAACTATATAAATTAAATATTTCTTAATCGTAAAAAAAAAAAAAAACACGATAAAGATTACTAAACGTGTAATCAAAAAAAGCAGAATATTCTCAATATCATTTATACATTATGACTGTGGTATTAACTGCTGTTTATCCTTATTGTATTGGCGGATTCTCTATCCATAGAGCTGGATAAACGGTCAAATGGATAATTACTTACATAAGCTTTGTGAAAAAAAAACATGTCACCGAAAATGAGATTTAGTCAATTTAAAACAATAAACAGATTTTGTATCACAAAAAATAATAGCTCTCCAGGCAGACCCAGTTGCTTCGTGATTCAGCACAGTGTTTTATGTTCAATAAATGAATTAATACCATGGGTCCCTAAGACTGCTGAAGTATTTAGGTCAGGGGTTACAGGGCTCCAAGAAATAAAACTAACCCCAGGGACTCTGAGCGTTGACAGTATCGCAGGGGTTTTCAACTCAGTCCTAAAAAGGCTTTTGAGGACTTTATTGTTCTCTTAAGATGTGTTCTCTGCCCATCCTTAACGCCACTCGTGCAACCTGTCAGGAGGGGTCCTCTGGTACACCCCCACCCCTCTCAAGATGTTGATGCTCTTGGTCAGGATTTTATCTTTGGTGCTGAGTTTGGGTGGTGGAGGAAAAAGAAATGCCCAAAGGAAGCCCATGGGACCTGACAAGGTGTCACAATTGATGTTTTGGTTTAAAAAAATTTAAGTGCCGTGCTTTTGTTTACAGCATGATAACGTTGCAAAAGAATTAATGTGTTACAACAAAATTTCAAAGTAGAATTATAAAAAAAATTGTTTAAAAAAATAAATAAATCATGATTGTCAATTGGCTATTAGGTATACCTGTGCCAAATTATTTGATGCAATAAAATCACTATGTTTAAACATTGAGATAATGGCTGTGACTCACAACGACTTGTAAAAGTTTTTCTGGATTGAAATAAAGAGGGCAGTGAAAAGAAGGGAGGAGGCACAAACCACTACTCCATAAAATCTCATTTGGGCTGAAATCAGGCCAGTCAAAGCAAATCTCTACATTGAAAAACACTGCAGCCTCATCACTGGGGACTCTTATCAGCACTCAGGCCTGTGGGTACGACAAGGCTCACCTCCCAAAAGAGATGGAATAAATGATAAACGCAATTATGATGGAAAATAAGATTGTAAACTTACTTTGCAACTTCTTATGTAACTAATTGGTAATATTGTGTTTTACACACATTTCATTGGTGTACAATATGGCAAAATGTGTTAAATAACACAATTGTTTAGATCATGATCCATACGCCAGTATTCATATTATATAAACTGACCAATAGGAGAAGTGGGTAAATTGTCAGTATTTGAAACTGCATTAAAGGAATGATTATGTATAGTTTTACTTACTGGTGTAAAATGTGTTGCTTCTGAAGTATTGGCAGTGAGCATTAAACCAAACTGTATTTCAATGCCAACAATAAATGCCAACCTAAATGATGGATTCTTTTCCGATTGGATAATGTGCATGTAATATGGACAATAAAAATGCACCATTGTACAGTTGTTTGTTGTATTTTATTATTAAGAATAAATCTGTACATTACCTTTAACATTTAACTGGATTGCACAAATATGATTATCTTGTGTCAAAAAAGATGTCATTGAAAATAAAATAAAAATATCTGTAAATAGTTAGAGTAATAGTTTTCATGTATTAATAGTAATAATTTAATTACCTATTATAATGTGCAATGGGTCCTATTTTAATCTTTTCAACAGAAGTCTACCACCATCATGCGCCCGCCCCACAGCCTCCTAATAGCACAGTGCTCCTTATGGGCTTTCCCATCCATCACTCCACGGAGGTCAGCAACAACAGCCGCTGCAATGGCTGCAAGCTTTTGAACATCGTTTTTTTCAGACTCGAACAGTTTTCAGGGGTCTATTAACTGCATGATATGAAACAGAGAGATACATCCTGTTTTGAGACCCACTATAAAAATAATACCATCCTTTCTAGACTACCAGATTAAAACTAAGAGTTTGAATGACGTAAGAAGAAAATCACTAAATTAAAATGAGATGCCTGAGATGTTGTGAAATAGTGTTTTGAAATAGTAAAAATAACGGCACTTACAACATCTTCGACAGCCTCACAGCTTCAGCTGACAGAGCTGCATGACAGCAGACTGACTGACAGTCATGAAGAGTCATGCAGGAGTGTTGCTTTTGTGTTCCCCAGTGTGTACGACTTTGTACCAGGCCCAGGACCACGTGAGGCTACAGCAATGTAACAACAATGACAGGGCTCTCGACTGTTATTAGGGCTTTGTCTTTGACATGGGGCACATGCGCATGCACTCAAACTCTATTTCATTTCATAATGGCTTTGGGCTCATGCAATTCCATGAAGAAGTGATCAAAGAAAGAGACGTGTTACTATACTATACGTGCCAACTGTACCACGCCTCTTGTGTACACACATCCCTGTTTGTCAAAGTAAATATGACAATTAGAAAATCCGACACGTCACTGAAATGATCTGTGGTTAGCCACAAGTCTACCCAAAAGATACACATCCATAGTAGACATTTCTCTGTGTGTATCTAGACTAAGCCATACAACACATTATTGGTTAAATAACGCCTAAAGAACTTGGATCTTTAGGGATACAGCAGCAGGATTTTCCTCTTCTTTTTTTTCTCATTATGAATTAAGACTTAACTATCAATGTATCCCTTCTATTTCAGTCAAAGCAAACATTCGGGGATAAATAAGGAACGGTTTGAAATTATTAAAACCAACAGTTGGTCATACAAGGGTCAAATAGACTACTCTCCTTTTCTCTGTATATATTACTAATATTTATAGGAACCAATGAATTTGAGTAACTTGAAAAGAGCTGTGCATACATTTTTCCCACATATAATTTGAGTAAATGATTCATCAGAAGCTAAAACTACAGGGGAGCAGCTTCACAGAGAATTCAGACAGAGAGTGCATTCCCAAACACATTAAATTGTTTTTTTTTACAGATTTTCAGAGGAGAAAATAGTGTGTCAAAAGAGGTTTAAGCCCTGTCGATTAAATAGTTGATTAAAAAGGGCTCAACCTTTATTCAACTCTCAACCTATTATAAATGATGAACAATGTCACTAAATGAGACACAATTGGTTGAATATGGATCAACAGTCAACTTGACTCATAAAAGGCTCAAATACTGTGCGTCGTCATGTGTCAAGGCATACTACTGTTTGTACAACACTGGCCCTTCCATTTGTCCGCTCTGTCTCTGCTTGGGACAGTGACAGAGCGCTTACTTCAAGTCTTTGGCAGTTCTCCTCTTCAGATTCTCTCACTACACTACAATGGATCCTAAAGACAGAATGACTCTTCCTCCTTAAAATCCACACCGTGTTCTTCTCCAACCCACACGGCACACTCATTCAGTATTCATGCTTTAATTTAGGACACGTGCATCTGGGTTTTTTGATGAGGAGGGATCCTACGTTTTCTCCTCAAGGATTTTCTTTTGCCATTCTGCCCCCTCCTCATTCTAATCGAGCCAATCCGGATTCTGCTTTGGTTTCATGTTTATCTTTTTTTAGACTGAAAGCCATGTGCCACTCACTCCTACTCTCCCTCTGCCTTTTTCTCCATCTTTTTCTCCCACTGCCACCCACTCAATCCTTTCACCTTGTCCCACTCTGCTCCTCTCCTTTACTCTCTTTGATTGTATGAGAATGTGTACAGACGTGCTCCTAGCGTAACATAGGGTAGTAGAGTACGGGTCCCGGACAACCTGATGACTGCCACAAATGATGTACAAATAATTTAAATTCATCAGCTCTTCTGAAAATAACTGCTGGACATTAGCCCACACACAGTCACTGGTGCAGCATGTGTTCATGAGATGCAGCACTCCTGTATGCTTCTTGGTTATTCATACATTTTCATGCAATATATAAGGATAAAAAATTATGAAAGACTTTAACCAACACATTCCGTTAATAGCACTTGTTTTTCAACCCTCAAGAGGGGGACATAAATCCAAAATGCTATGGGATTAATGGAGATTTTATTTAGCTTTTTAGAATTTTAATTAGAATAAAATTGTCTCAGTTGAAAAGTTTAAGGTAATTGACAGTGAATAGGTCTAGAAAAATATAATTCATGTTAAGTACGGATGCTGCTTTGTTATGAGATTTTCAATTTTCATATAATAAACGTAAATCGCTCTTGTGAAACGGTATCTTTACAGCCATTAAATGTTTGCATTATACTTGTATGGAGTGCTTAGCAAATATGTACCACTTCCATCTACAACATTGTGTACCTTACTACTGTAGGAGATATGCTTGACAATAACTCGTGCTATTGTCACCTCAGTGTTATGGATTCTTTCCCCAATAAGTAAAGCGGCAATTATTCTGTCTTTTCCTCGGTCTTACATGAAGTTATGATAGGAAACTAAAGTTCACAAACATGTCAAGCCATGCACCTTTGCCAAATACTGCTTCCTACCTTGCACAAAACAAACCAGGCGATCACAAGTAGGAACAGAAGGAGTCTACTCAATAAATGAACTGCAATCTCCAAAGCAACTTGCAGTACAACAAGGCTAATGCATCAGCCTAAATGATAAGTTAAAGTAGGGTTTCTCATTCAGCAGGCTGGTGTAGCAGAAGGAACTAGCCTAAAAGCGGTGACTTTGCTAATACTCGCGGTAAACGCCGGTGACAGCTACCTGCCAAGCGTGATCTAGTGGTCATAGTGGTCATAGTGGTCATAGTGGTCATAGTGGTCATAGTGGTCATAGTGGTCATAGTGGTCATAGTGGTCATAGTGGTCATAGTGGTTCTCTGACAGATCTGTGGCTGGTCGCATATGTCTTACCTGTGTTATGACAATGCCTCGATAGCCACTGCATCGGTTCCGCTGGCTGTCCCATATCCCCGGGACACTCGCAGGGAGCTGAGGGCGAATGCTCAAACGCTTCAGGGAGAGAATTACAGTATCCGTGGCGTCGTCATTAAAGCGGATAAATAGCTCCGTAGATCTCAAATCACCGGTGCTCCCCTGGTTTAGTACCCGGGCTCTGGGCTGTTTCTGTGGGGGATTGGGTTTTCTGTTCAGTTGCAACACGTCGTCTGCCGTGGCGCTGGCTGCATATGGCTCATTTTCCCGTCTCTGTTGGAACACAGCGTGCGCGTAAATGTCCACAGAGATAATAGTCCCTTTGCTTCAATAAACAGCGACGCCTTTTTGGTTCACTATTTCCGTCTGCCGTGCATCAGAGCTCCCAAGCGCGATAGCAGCTAAAGGCGACAGATTCTCCCGTGAAAGTGGTGGCCCATCCCCTCAGGCGATTCCCCCACGGAACATACGTACGCGTGTAGTTGATATTCTCTTCCGTATTCGGCTGCGCAAAACACCCCTTGGTTCCCCGGGTTTACGCCATACACCGTTTAGGACGTTCACCTGATTCGTTTTTTTTCTATATAAATATATAAAAGCTACACACTCCGTGGTTTCAGTGGAGAAAGAGCGCCACCGGTGGTTTGTAAGATTCAAGGAATAAGCCAAGTGATCCAAACAGTGGCACAGCTGCAATATCACTGCATTTCACTCTAAATACAAATGTTGTTAGTGATGCACCCTTGATTTAATTATATACATAAAAATACAAATAATTGGCCTATGAGTAGATAAGACATTGGAACCATGATTTGGTTGCGTTATGAAAGTGATTCTAAAGACAGACTTGTGAGACTTATTTTAGGGAACAATGAAAGTGGGTTGTTTTTTTGTTTTGTTTTTTTTCTGCAATAAGTATGCGCTATATACTCCAAAACTGAATTTAGTAATCGAAAATCTCCCTCAATTGGGGGCCTATTGATCAATTATTTTATGATTAGAAAGTACTGTTTTTTATGTAATATGTCCACATCCCTTCACCTGAATCATGTGTATTACTATGTGTGTTATTGTCTTTTTCTTGGATCCAAAAGGTAAATAATTAAAATGCCCATTTATTGAATAATATTGAGAGTGCCCACCCCCATCAAAGCCAACACTTGGTACATTCCCCATCCTCCTCCTCCTCTCCTCACTTCTGCTCCCAGTGTCCTCCATCTCTGCTCCCTTCTGTCATTTTCTTGTATTGAGGACATTCTGATTTCCTGCGACTGCACTGGTTTCTTGTGCATCTGTTGTCCTGATTTAGTCCTCACCACTGCTGAAGAGGTGAGTAACACATTTACATCATCATGAGTCATGACATCACAATATAGTTATTAAGAACCTGCTTTTTACTGGAATTTTTACTCTTATTTCAGAAACAGGTGTACTAATCCTGGTTAGTCTTCTCCACATGTATACATTTCATATTAAAAGGGTTGCACTTTAGCCCATTTTCCAGCAGTCATGCTGCAGTTTTCCTCCATCTTGTTCTCTGTTCTGTTTTTACATATGACTCATACACTTTGTGCACTGTGCGAGCCAGACCAAAAAGCTAATTCTGAAATTTCTGATCAACTACAGAAATTGAATTAATGTTAAAAGCAAATTTGAGTTTCTACTATAGCACCAACAATTGCTAATTTATAATAATACATTAAACTACTACAGGGAGGGGGGAGTTGTTATATAATATGGTCTCCCATGAAGCCGCATGTAATGAAATTATTCTTATTTCTTTGAGGATCAGATAGTATCCCCGTCATCTGTATTCCAAGGTCACACTTTAGGCCCAACCACTTGCTGACTTTGAAGAGGAGCACTTTGGATGCAGTGCACATGCAATACAGTGCCAATGTGGTGTACTGGCTCATTGATAATCTGCTTTTGTACTTTTGTTATTTTCTATCAGTGAATCAGAGCTGACCTTGCAGAGTCCTCCTGGTTGGGACACACCTGTCTCTGAAACCATGGAAGCCAAGGCCAAATCTGGGGCTCCTGCAGTGCCCAAAGCGGCATCTAAGGCTGAGAAGAAAGAAGCCCCCAAGAAGGCCCCGGAACCTGCCCCAGCCACGCCTGAACCAGAGGTTGCCCCTCCGCAGGACGGAGCAGCAGATGCAGAGGCTGCGGGAGAAGCCCCTGCCACAGACTCTTTTGAACAGCTCAAACCATATCTTCTCGGTGGGGCCATCATTGCAGCAGGAGCCATCTTACTCAGTGTTTTACTAGTGGCGAGGAGGAAGTAAAACAAAAGTCATTACAGTACCTAGATATAATATTGGCTAATGTGTTTGTAATTATAATAGACAGACTATCTATTGTATAAATGAGGATTGCTATAATGTCTTGTAAACTTTCACACTGCACAAAGCTGCTTAAACACTAAAACAAGTTGCATGGACCTACTCGGTATGCATTATTACCCTTTCACCTGTAAAAAAGGAAAAACAAATTATATGTGGCGTAACTGTACACTCACTTTACTCACTCGCACTAAATCTTTTAGGATAAAGCTGTAATTAATCGAATCTCCAAACTCAGTATCTGAATGAGGCAAGTCTAAGCATATTGACAACCATATGCATTTGAAAAAAACAAAAACAGATTTTAAACATGTATAAAAGATTTGACCGTATAAAACACTTCACGTCTTCAAAACAGCTTCACTTTACTCAGGATGTACACAGACTGAGCAGTGCCATTAGTGATATCGCTGTATTTTTTCCCTTGTGGATGATTAGTAATCAGAAATGTATTCTTCAACATTTTAAAAATGAAATATTTGTAATATATTTGCTACTTGAAAAGAATTTGCAGGCAGATTATATTTGCTTTTGTTTTGCTTAATAATCTTATAAATAATATACTTAACGCTCATCAAACCTGTCAAGAGTTAATGTAAAGTTGGTCAACTTTACATTTACTTGGTTTAAGCCACAAACATACTTTATTTATTTACATTACTGGGAGAAATAAAGTACATCTAAAATGATAATATTATTAATTTTGTTATAACACACCAAGATATTTAAGACATGTCATTTATAAAATAACATCTTGCATTGTATACTACAGTGTACCAAAAATAATGTTATTTTCCTAATTTCAACAGCGTATGAATGCAATAATTCAGAATTCTCATTTTAGCACAATAACTGTAGCAAGATGATGTCATAGCTTGTGGGATGGTAGCAGTGAGATGTGACTGAAAAGTGGGATATTAATGATGTAGACCTATATGCCGATTATGGAACAGTTTATATTAATGTTATTTTAGTCATAACAATAGATTTCTCTTTGCCCCATAAGTGTATACAGCTACAATTCAAAGGTTATTAAAGGGAGTGAACCAAATAAATATGACGTTGTACTTATTTATTTTAAATATTGAGTTTGACTGGATGGAAGCACTTTATCTTGGGCATAAGGACCCAAAGCCTGGAGATCAGTGCCAAACTGCTACAATTGCAGTAGTTGATATCCAAGACTTATTAAGGTCCAAGTATAGTCTATATGGGTCTAATCTAAACTGCGTGTGTGTGTGTGTGTGTTAAGTATAGATGTATTACACAGTTGTGCTTGAAAGATTACTCACACACTGCCAGTAAATTGTTGGGACCTTTTTGGTATATACTTCACACACATCCACACGCACTCACACAATCATTCATGATCTTCACCCAACCATCACAGTCAATGTCTCCAACTCAGGTTTATTATTATTTTTACATTTTCAAAATCTGTTCACCTTTGCTTGTAGTGTCGTGTGGTTTCTGCTCCTTCCAGGACGTCAGGGGGCGATAGTGACGCTCACCGGAAGTCTACGGTTGATGTCATAGGATGAGAAAGCGTGCATTTTGGAGCCGCAAACGCCTCGATTTGGAATAATATTGAAAGCATACATAAGAGCGACTGAGACTGTTGTCACCGACGCTGACGGTAAGCACAGAACAATGCCGCATGACCAGCAAAGAGCAGTGAGCAGCCAAAGTGGCCTGTTTAAGATAGTCAATCTTCTGCTCATGCAACTGAGCCTGAGATCACTGTTTTGGTTAAGAACATGGTGGTGAAGGTGAAGGTAAACTCTTGTTGGGTCCGTAATCCTAAATCGACTCACTCGTATCAAATAAGGCTTATATAATTCTATTGAATCGAATTGTTTGATTTATTCGTGTTAGGAACCATCACCATGATTATCCCAATCCGTTGCTTCACCTGTGGGAAGATCGTTGGTAACAAGTGGGAGGCATATCTCGGTCTTCTTCAAGCAGAGTACACTGAGGGGTAAGTTGGTGTCCAGGGAAATGTAATTTACCAGTCATAAAAAAGTGATGTCGAAATAGTGATGTAAAAACATGTATTATTGTTATGATGACGACTTGAAGCCCTGGTAGGAGGGCAGGTCGACTTAAGGAAAAATGATTTTTTTATTAAATTAGTTTTTTCGTCCTTGAAATTCTAATTCCTGCAAAGGCAGGAGAAAATACATTTTTAAGACAAACATAGGCTGAGGCTCTTTCACAAACGCTGAATGTTGAAAAAAGATTCTATTCTGCCCATGATCAGTGTCTCTACACTTAATTTTAAGAGAACTATACAGTATCAATTATGAGTGTTTTTCTTTCAGTGATGCGCTTGATGCCCTGGGCTTGAAGAGATACTGCTGTCGAAGGATGCTTCTATCTCACGTGGATCTCATTGAGAAGTTATTGAATTATGCTCCGCTAGAAAAATAATGGAAGAACGCCTCTAGGACTAAGTGTTAGTGTGTACTATTATATTGTAACATTTGTATTTCAACCTTTTTGATAATAAAGAAATTTCATTTATTGAATCCTTAGATTTATTTTGTTTAAAAAATGCACATTAGAATGTTACAATGTGGAATACATGCAAGTGGTGAAACTTGATGTATTTTCACAAAGTCTACAACTGTAATAGATAAAAGGGACTAAGGGTGGTTGAAACAAAAGTTAATCTTTTTTGAAGGTACCTTCTATATACATTCAGGTGTTGATTATTGAAAATCTTGTCCTCCTTATCCATAGTATATTCTGAATATGAGAAAAGAAATAATTGAATTCAGCCCATTTTTCAAGTGATGCAAGGGAAAGATTATACCCTACCCTCACGGCAGTTTCAGTAATTTAATATCTGTCTCGATTCCTGTTGCGATCCCTGTATCTGTCTTGTTCTCGAGAGCGTTCCCTTGACCGTTCCTCTGTGCGGCCCTGTGTGCGTTCCCGTGTGCGTTCCTGTGTGCGGTCCCTGGAGCGATCCCTGGAGCGCCCATTTCTTCTTTCACTGCTCCGGGATCGTTCTCCCCAAGATGAGCGTCGTCTTTCTGTACTTGAATGTCTTCTACTGCGCACTCTCTCTTCACTGTGCCTTTACACAATTAAAGGTCTAAGAATATGACATTAAAAACCATGTTCAGTTGGGCCTCAAAGTGACCAGTACAAACCTGTTTTGACCTCCTTGGATGGACACTAAACAGTCTTTCAAAGAGGTGACCATGGCCTGACAGCGATCGTCTTTGTACACTTGAGATTGTTTGATGATGGAAATAGCTGTCAAAAGCGTTTCCATAGCCACTGGCAAGTCTCCTGCAATGCACACCATTTTTAAAACAAAGATGCAAAGACATCTTGGACATTTTATATATGAAATCAAATCTCCATATTCAAGAAGTATCATTACGACATGCATTTCTACACTTACCTGTTGTTGCTCCTGACACAGCTTTGGTAATGGCAGTACTAGCAACTGCTTTGTTCCTGTTTATTAGCTCCTCAAAGTCTGTATCTATTCTAAAAAGTTTAAAAAAATGAATGTTAGGTCAGTTTTTCTTATTTTTCAAGGAAAATCTGAATTAATATTTTTCTATTTTCTGTTGGTTTCATATGACATGGCATAATATTCTCGCCATACATTTGGGTCTGTGCACTTTTGCGTTCAATACATTTTCTATTTTTGAAGGGAAATGGAAAATTGAAAAAAGGCCATTTTGCATTTTCAGGCACACAGCAATATACAAAAATGACCATTTTGGTTTTTTCATTGCGTCTAAGACATATATATTATAGTAATCGGATTTGGGGACTAGAAAATGCAATGATTAACCTTTTTTAATGTGTATTTAATACATTTCAGCTACTGTGAACGCACCACTTACTCTGCTAAAATAAGTGCGAGCCGACAAATAGTAAAGACTGCTGCAACACGTCTACTATTTTATTATGACAGAGAGCAAAGTAAACGTACAAATGCAACCCATCAGTCTGATCATTTAGTGTAGTGACCACAACTCTACACTTCTCCATAGACCTCACAGAGACAGCATCAGCCGCGACTCTGCAGCTGTGTACACAGCCGCGATCCGCAACTCCTCTGCTCATTGACAAAAACAACGTAGAAAGTCAAGCGAAAGCTGCCATCACGATCACAATCACTGACATGCAGATTCTCACGGGATAAGTATTATCACAGGACGTCTGTGTTTTGACAAATACAGGTCATTTGCGAATTAAATTCTACTAAATTAGAGCGAATTAGGGCTGAAGTAAACTTGTTTCACTTCCGGGTAATCGATTGACGCCGAAATGAATTAAATACACATTAAAAAAGGTTAATTATTGCATTCTACTTCCCAAATTCGGTTGTTATATTATATTTATGTCTTATAAGCAATGAAAAAAACAAATGGTAATTTTTGTAAATTGCTGTGTGCCTGAAAATGCAAAATAGCCTTTTTTCGATTTTCCATTTCCCTTTAAAAATAGAAAATGTATTGAACGCAAAAGTACACGAACCCATTTGGATAACAATTTTTGATATCCTATAAGATTCAAACATATAAAGCAATTAACTGATGAACGATCCACACACATTTAAGAAAATGTTAAGCATTCTAAATGGTAGAAAAATATCCATAGGGAAAATGTTCATGCACATGCTTGAATTAAGTATTTATTTTTTCTCTCAAAAGTGTTGATGTCTAATTTTGAAGGACAAAATAATACTTCTCCCAAACAAGAAGACAAAAGATATGTGCTAGTTCCATTGACAAATCTCTTAACTTGAATATTTAATCTTAGCCAAAACATTGCGATTTGGTTCAATTGCAATTGATCATGCAGCCTTATACAGCAATAGTAAAAAAGTTGAAGCTTACTTTTCATCACCATTTGATCTGCAGCTGTGCCTCCCTTGTGACGGGCCAGCAGTTACTGGAGCTGGATTGGGTGGAAATCTCATTAAATTCAAGAACATGTAAGGATGATGTGGGTAGCTTAAAAATGGGTTGGATACAGAAGGAATGCTGGTAGGAAATGGGTTCAAAAACTGAGGAGGCACAGTAGAATCAAAGGGGTTCTGTGGTAAAAATGAAGTCCCTGAATCATTCATATTTGTAGAAGCAGTGCATGGCAGAACACCTGAGGAAAAGTAAAGCAACATTTACAAAAACAAAATATATTGTTATAATTACTTGTATACTTACTTTTTTGGGCCATGTCCTCAAATAAACTCAGAGTTGAAGTATCGGCATGATAGCAGTCAATCTTTTCGCCACCAAGAGTGCACTTTGGTATATAATCCAAAAGTGTTTTCATTGACTCCTCAGAGCTCACTGTTATTTCAGCATATCTGAATGAATGAATAAATTATTACTTGTCATCATTTTGAACTGCACAATCAACATGATACTCACCCTTTTGAGAGTCCATTTGCTTTGTTTTCTGCAAATTTGACCCCAGTTATATCCCGAACACCAACATTCTTGGTCATTAGCAATATGTCTTCTTCTGTTATCCACTGAAAGTTTTCTCAATTAAGTTAGAATCTTAAGATTGATATGGACATCAGCATGTACAAAATATTAGCTCACCCAAGGGAATTTCCCAATGTACAACCGCTGTTCTTCTGTCTTCTTCCTAACTTTCGAGGTTGCTGGTGTTAAATTTGATTGTGCGTTGGCATTATTGTCCGTCTGAACTTCTGCCTTATTCTTATCCACTGATGCGCTCAGTGCTGCGTCAAAAAGATCATCCTGTGAATGATACAGGAACAGTCAGTTTTCTTACCGGTCGTGCACTGTGTACATTTTACGACACCAACCTCATTAACTGATGAAAACCTTAAATCCAACGATGCAGGCTTTGCAGCATTCATACTGTACATGCGTTTTGTTTTTCTGCAGTTATCGGAGAAGTACGCTTTACACTTTTGTTTGGCTCTTACAAAACAGAAAGGTTTACCCAAGCACATATCATTTGGCAATTTATATGTTACGGGCTAGCTCGATGCAACGCTAGCAAACGTTCTCAAAAACAACGTTTGTTGAAATCTTACCTACGAAAAATATGTCTCGATTAACTGAAAAAAATATATCGGTCAAGCCATTCTAAGTAGAATGATTGAACCATAGACTGAAAATATGATTGAACCAACGTTTATCATGTTGTTCTTGCAAAGCTCTATTTTTTTCCTGTTTAGTGTGTGTTGCCTATTACACTCCGGTCAGAAATGTCTAACTAACAAATGGTTCCTACTAAATAGTAAATGTTTAACGCTACTTCTCAACATATGTTGGCTTACATAATTTTATTTGTGCATATTAACAACATATGAAATTATTTTTCAGCAGGAAGTTAATATGATTTATAGGGGTTTCAGTGTTTGACTAGCTCACATGGCTCCGCCCTCCTTACGCAAAACAAAACACTGGAGTTATTTCACAGGCTGACATTCAGACGTGAGAGTAACTTGTGCACATTACCTAGGATTTTAGGGTCAAAATGCTCTCTTCCTTTGCTGCAAAAAGAGTAAGTGTTCTTATCATTTTCGTTTGATTGGTGTGGGTTTCATGAACATGCGCTAGTTTATGTGGCTGAGATGTTTGTTAGCCCAAAAGCTAAATGTCAAATAACTAATGAAATGATCGAGATGTGGGCTCCTTTTCTAATGCCTTTTGTGTAATTGTATCCCCAACTCAATGTTAGTTAGTGTGTAAAGCCAGTCTCTTCCATTCCCACTTTCTACACTTAGGACACAAGTGACCTATGTTACACAAGTGTAACACAACATGTTAGCTTGTGATGTAACTCATCTTAAGGATCTGTTTCTTTGTGTCAATTGAAGTGTTTTTAACATCATGTTGAATGTATTCTGGAACTTGTATGTATTTAATTCATTAAATGTAAAGTTGTTGTATTTGGTTAGATTGTTCCTGGGCTTCTCCGTTTTACATGGAGACCAGCAGTGACAGCTTCCGTTCGTGGGTACCGTGGTTCTGCACCAGAAGACACTAAAGTCGATCTGATAGAGATCCCGTTGCCCCCATGGGAGAACAGGCTCAACGAACCCCTGGATATAAAGAGGCGACGACTGCTTTATGAAAGTCGCAAGAGAGGCATGCTCGAGAATTGTATTTTGCTTAGGTATGCGATGCAATGTCAACATTTAATCATTATATAATCAGGGGTATATTCATTTGGTGTATAGTTGTATAATAACACTTACCTAGAACCTGAAAGAATGGAATGCATAAAATATTCTTGTATAGTCTGATTATGTATTCTCCTTGCAGCATTTTTGCAAAGAGATACCTGAATACAATGAGTGCGATGCAGCTACAGCAGTATGACAGAATTATAAATGAACCAAGCAACGACTGGGATATCTACTACTGGGCCACAGGTATGGTCGTCAAGCTAACATATGTATATGTAGTATTGATAAAGGAGTGATAAATATGTTGAAGCTAAGTAACTTAACACTAAAAAAAATCTGTTTTAAATTTGTATTTTTATGCAGAAACTATGCCAACTCCAGAGGTTTATCAAGGTGAGGTCATGGATATGCTGAAGGAGTTCACCAAAAATCGTGAGCAAGAACAGAGGCTGGATGCACCCAATTTGGAGTATCTGGATAAGGACAGCCAGTGACCTTTTGAAACTCAAAAACTGAATACTGACCAATGCAACGCTATGAAATTGTGATTTCCAACGTATTATTGTAATAAATGTACATAGTGATAACTGATCTCTGAGGTGTTTTTCATTTCAAGGTTTGATGATGCTCTGAATCTGCCAAATAAGCAGCAGGGGGAGCCATATCACTGTTCATCAGGCGATATGGAGTGTATCTTTATAACTCAGTAATTTAGTTGGCCAATTGCTTATCTTCCATCATACTCCTGAACCAAAACAAAGATGTGTATCCTTCCTGGTTAAAACTCACAAACAAAACAAAGCCCAACAAATGTAGCAAAAGTAAATGAGGGTTCTCTTTAAAAATGTATCCAACCTGCTCTTTTATTTTTGCTATGTTACAGATTTCCTTTTTCTTTAGCCGTGAAAGGGAAATGCTTTATTCTGTATTTACCAAAAAACATGTACGTGGACTTTGATCATTCTCTCTTACTCCCACTTATAAGTAGTGATAATGTAATAGTATACTATTACATAAACTGATTCAACAGAGGGCCTCAGCATCACAAATGTCCAGCCAATTTTGAGGTGCAAATATACATAATACAAAATATACAGATTCAATATCAAGAATAAAATGTGAGGGCTAAAAGGTGGCAATAGTACAAAATGTGAAAACGTATATTATTGTGCTATAAAATGCCCTAAAATGAGTAAGCCAAAAGACACCCAACATGGAAATTGTTACAATAACCCTTTTTAGTATTAATAATAATGCATCGCTTTTATGTAGCAATTTTTTGGACATTCAGAGATGCTTTACATGTCATTATCTATTCACTCCATACACGATGGTGATAAACTACTACTGTAGCCACAGCTGCCCTGGGGCACACTGACAGAAACGAGGCAACCAGTATGTGCCATCGGCCCCTCCGACCACACACCAACCATTCACACAAATCATTCTAGGCAATGGGGGTGAAGTGTCTTGCCTGAGGACACAACAGCACTTTGGCACTTTACAGCCGCAGCCGCCCCAATGTGACTGGTGTTCCCAGAGGTTAAGTGTCTTCTCGTGTTGATAAAGAATTACTTTTCATCTTTAACAATATACTGGTTATTCATTCTGTGGATTATTGCCCTGAAATAAACAGAGAGCAGGCCACTTCCCATGTCCACAAGAAGTATCCATGATTAAAAAAATCAATTGCTCTTAATAACTGAGGCAAAACATCTGATTTTCAATGTATCGAACAAAGTATGACAGGAAAACAAGCACAGATAGCTACGCAATGTCTTCTTTGAGACAGGTCACATCATTTCAGAATCGTAATTTTGAATGTGTTATGAATAGATCTTGAGTACTGTGATGTTACAGGATAATGCTTCCAACACACATGGTCTGGAGGTGGAATCACACCCAGGGCACCCAAGTTTCACTTACCTTCAAACTTACCTGCTCTATGAGACTTTAGAATTAAAGAATACACAATGTACCAAAAATATCTTGTTTTATATACACATTTATATTTTTTATATACACTGTACAGGTTTCAAAAAAATAAATGGTTGATATTAACATTGTGCACTCCACAAATGTGTAACTATACAGGGAACTGAGAGTGGGAAAGGGGGCTGAATGATATCAAAGACACACAGATATCAACAGCGCAGTCAATACTCACTTTTTCATACACGTATTTGTACATTATATCAAATAAATGTTGCTGGTAAACCTCTCTTTGTCTCAAGTAGTGTCCCCAAGAAGAATGCCCGAGATTCCTAAATTCCACAAAAGATTCACCACTATTTGGCTAGTGATTATTGAAGTGACAATTGTAGCTCAAAATATTAAAAATCCAACGCCACCAAACCCTGAATGAAAAGGACTTTTTAGGTCTTTGGAATGTATTTCATTTTAATGCACAAAGCACAATAACCCTGAAGGTCAGAGTCACACTCTCTTTTTTTCTTTTACCCACTCCTCAAACATACATGTGCACCTAAAGCTGGAGTACCAAACTTTGCTACCTGCATTTTGAACCACAAATAACCATACATGTATTTTAGTAATTTTAACCTCTGTCACATATTTAGATTATATTTTTCAGTGAAAAGTACCAGCTCTGACTCGGCCAATCAGCTCTCAGTATGTAAAAGGTTATCTAATAAGATGAACGCAGCATGTTGTGTTCTGATTAGTTTACCAAACATGAGTTAAGCAGGACTCTTTCTGACGGGGCAAACATCTATTAAAGCAACTTAAAACGTTGGTACTCCGGCTTTACTGCAGTATAAGGTTGCACACAAATGGATCTTAAAAGCTGTCAAAAAGCCATGGACAAAAACATTATTTAAGCATATTATCCTAAAGCAAGCAACAGAATGACAGCATTTAAAGACAGTTTTGACCCATACCCCTTTAGGAAGAAGTTTTAACACACTAAAATAGATTCCTGTTTATTCTTCATTGCATTTCATTGTGTGTATAATTGATTTATTTCCTATTTATCTTCATGATTGTTCGTTGTTTGTGACCTTCAGGGCCGTTGTTACACCGCCATCAGGACAGACACACAGCAGTCTTCCCTGTTTATTTTGGGATGCTCTGACCTGAGATGTGATGCAATGAGGTGACGATTATATCTCACCTACGTTTTCCCTCTGTCCCGGACAAGGGCAGGCGTGGCTCCATAAGGCACACACAGGATATTTTGTGCCAGAAAGCTTGTGTGCACGGCAGGGTGGTCCGCTGTACTATTAATATGTTTCTGTGTTTGCCACCAGCCTGTTTAATTGGTCCAGACATAAAAATACAGAAAATTAAAGTTGCTGCTTCAGAAATCTGTGACAAAAACATCATACTCACAAACCCTTTCCATGATACTGTTATCCTTTACTTATTCAAAATGCATTTAACCAAAACATTTAAAGTACATAACCCTGCTATGAAGAGAGGTTTGATCCAGCATCAGCAAGTGAAGTGACTCTTCAGTTGTAACAATAAAAACATCTCTCTGTACAATTTTGATCTTACGAGTTCATACAAAATAAAACTAGTAAACAGAGTCAGTTTTAAACTGTAAGTCAGTGCAGTTACACACAGAAGAACCGAAAGCACAGATAACACACTCACGCACACACATGGTACGTATACACCAACAGTGGAATGTAAAAGCATTTCCCCAAGTATTATTACTTCAGATTCACTGATTACATTTCTACACGACTTAAGGAAGGTCACACTGAACGTGGTCATGACAAGAATATTGCCTTTGGATCTTTTTTTGTTTGTTTTTTAAATGTGCAAAGTAAAGCTAAGTGTTGCTAGGAAAAAGAACAATCTGCCCCCTGACCCTGATAAAACTGACCTTCTTATCATATGTTAAATTCATAACTGAAAAATCTATGGGGCACTTGGCAGTACATTAGCAGAAACATCTCCCTTCTCGCTTGCTTGACCCTCACAATCCAAAACCGCTTAAGGCGTAACACTGCCTCATAGTGAATGAGTTAAGGACTAAGGATTGTGTTGAGTTTACCTTAATGTCATTGACCACCAGAGGAAGTAATCTAATAACTTTGTAATTGTATTTTAAGTATACGGATAAAATATAATGTGTAAAAAAATACTTATTTACTGTTTTAGAGGCGGATAAACCCCTCAGTCAAGTGTTGTCTAAAATACTGTATCAGTGCTGTACACAACGGTTTCTGAAATCTGCCATGACAGACATATACATTCATGAGCCTTTAATTGTCACAATGGATGCACTGCAAAAGAACAGTAAGCAAGAGTAAAATATGTAGTGTGTTGTTTTGTTTTTATGAGCTAATCCACTTCCTTTGTGTTTTTCTGACTCACTTTGAGTCACTTGAAGGAAAATAGTGACCTCCTTGAGCCTTCAACTACCTTCACATCATAAAGCAATGCAGTCGCCCATTTTACCTTCACTACTGACTGGAGCCATTGTTGTTTTTGACCAATCACAACAGCCATACTTGCACTGTGCCCATGTTTATCTCTTGAAACCTTCTTTGTGTATTCTCATCAACTGGAAGAACGAGAAGATCCGTAACATCTTTTGCAAACCACAAAAAAAGAACAACATTAATATCCTCCGTATTCCATCAATATTTTTACACTCCTCGTCATGAATCCAAAAGTTCAAATCTGTTTTTTTTATTATTACAGCACATCACCCACAGCACACACGGACAACAAAGGGTTTCCAGCCAATGGAGAATTATTACAATGGTGCCAGGGAACGAGATCGACAAGTCAGGTCCATCTATCATCGAATCTTTTTCTTTTCCTGATTTTTCAATGCTAGGCAGCAACAGTTAAACGCAACAGGATAAGGTTTGACTTTGATTTATCCATTTTTTGGTAGACAATTGATATTCACCAGAGGCAATGGAGGTAATGGTCCGACTAAAGTGTGCCGTTATAAAGGGGAGAGAGAGAAGGCCATGGGGGATTTGAGTGCTCCTGTAAAAAGAGGGGTGAGTGATCAAAGACATTTCTAATTTGAGACCGGGGTGTTCAGGTGGGACTTAGAGCCTGACAGGGGTGTAATAAGGGCACAAATATCAAAGAGGCCTGAGAACAAAGAGATGACATCTGTAGACAGCTAAAGCAGAGGTTGGGTGCGGGCAGGGAGTACATGTCACTATGTGGGTGGAGATGACTGGGTGGAGATCTTCAGGCTTTGAGGGCATGCCACTGAGCCACAGCACTGCGAGGGTGACCCATCATGTCTTTCCAGTGTTTTACCTCCGCCGGGCCACTTTTCCATGAGAGATAAATCTGCAGAAAAAGGCAGAGAAGTAAAAGTGAAACATGCAAACTCTCAATCTTCCAAATATCTTCCTTTGAGGGCTGTGATTTTAAACATAGAGAAATGCTCGAAATCAAATACTTGTGCAGTGTCCTTAAAGAATGTTGATTACACAGGATTTAAAAATAAAAGTTTTGAAAATGAATTGCAAGCTATGTCCAAAAGCTTGAG